CTCTGCAGATGGGTAGAGGACTCGCGTTTAGGCAGTGGGAGCTCACATGGTGAGAGAAGCGTGAGGAGGTGTTGTAGCGGCCCACATGGGCTGGTACTGCAAAGTGTTGAAAGAGGTGTGGCCGGGTGGCTCATGCCTGTAATCCCAGCACTTTGGGAGGTCGAGGCGGGCAGTTCATGAGGTCAGGAGATCGAGACATCCTAGCTAACACAGTGAAACCCATGTCTCTACTAAAATACAAAAAAATTAGCCGGGCATGGTGGCACGCACCTGTAGTCCAGCTACTGGGGAGGCTGGGGCAGGAGAATCCGCTTGAATCCGGAAGGCGGAGGTTGCAGTGAGCGAGATCACACCATGCACCGTCCAGTCTGGGCAACAGACCAAGACTCTACCTCAAAAAAAAAAAAAGAGGTGTGGCAGAAGTGCGGTTAGGGGCCAGAAGGCCTGCCTACCTTACTAGCCTTGGTCCTGCAGAGGATAATGAGCTGCTGAAAACACCTAAAAGGACCAAGGGCCGTGACCACATCTGTCTTAGGAAGGCCTGGGCTGCCAGGTGAAGCACTGATGGGGGAGGTTGGTTAGGAGATTGACAAGGAGGATGCTGATAAGAGACCAAGGGAAGGGAGAGATCTGAAGCCCAGCAGTGGGGCTGGCAGGGTGGTTATTCTTTGATATGGGGGATGGAGACAGCAGGGCTAAGGGTGGTGCATGGGGACCATGAGCCTTCCAGTGCCGGGACTTTATCTTTTCCCTTCTGATTCTCCCACACCCAGCAGAACACCTGGTCCTAGTGCTCCCTTTCCTCCAAATCCAAACTCCTTTCCACACTTCCTTCTCTAGCCCTGCTCCCTAACCCTGGTTTCCTCCTTTATTCTCCTCTTCATCATCTTTTCCTTTATGGAGTCCAGAGCCTACAGAGTCTTTTTGCTTTCATTTTTTTTTTTTCATTTGATTCCCGTAAGAACACTGTGAGGTATGAACCCATTTTACAGGTAACAATAGGGGAAGCTAAGAGAAGCGAAGTAACTTGCCCAGCACACTCTGAACCTTCCAACTCAAAACTAATTAGGGGTCTTGGCCGATAATTGAGTCAATCAGCCTTTGCTGTGCTTAGGGGCCACCCAGACCCAAAATATAGCAGCTGTCATCTGTCAGGGCCACCCTAGACCTGGGTCCTAGCCCATGAAAGCAGAAGTGGTTCTGGGTAGAAAGGATTCAGGTATAGGAGTCTTGAGATCTTTGGGACCTACACTTCCATTAGTTCCCTTGCAGGACCTTGGGCAAGGCCCATCCCTGTTTAAGCTGTGTCCTCATCTGTGGAATGTGGGCAATAAAGCCAGTCTGCCTTCCCCATAATCCACAGGGCTACTGTAAGACTCCAAGGAGGCAATGTTTGTGAACATTCTTCCTGATGGGAAGGATTGCGCAAATGAATCTCCCCCGTTTCCTACGCTCTCTCCCAGTCCCAGAATACCAATGGCCTGTGCTACCATTTATTAGAAGATGATTGTGTGGTCAACATCATGGGCTCGTAACCCCCAACAGGAGCTTAAGTTAGGTGCTCCACAGGCTGATGTCTCACTCTACATACTCTCCCAGGGAAATTGTACCCCAGCCCCTACACACAGATGAATCCCAAATCTGCTTCCATCTCAGGTCCCTCAACTGAGCTCCATCTGTGTCCCTTTGTGGCCGCCATAGTCTGTTCAGGCTGCTATAATGGAATGCCATCAACTCTGTGGTGTGTGAACAGCAAACATTTATTTCTCCCAGTTGTGGAGGCTGGGAAGTCCAAGATCAAGGCCTGGCAGATTTGGTGTCTGGTGAGGGCCTGCTTTCTGGTTCACAGATGCCATCTTTTCAGTGTCCTCCCATAGTGTGAGTGGTGAGGGAGCTCTGTGAAGGCTCTTTCATAAGGGCACTAATCCCATTCACTAATCCCTAATCAACTCTCAAAGGCCCCCACTTCCTAATATAATGACCTTGGGGGTTCGGATTTCATATGAATTTGGGGGGGACACAGTGTTCAGACCACAGCAGCAGCCAACGGCCCTGTGGATATCTCCAGTAGCTTGCTGCACAGTCCCTTAAGCTTACTATGTCCAAATTGAACTCATCCCCTGCCCCACAGCCTGCTCCTGGTCCTGGGTTCACCACTCGATGTGGGCTCCATTGGCTCAGTCATCCACCCAGAAACCTGGGTGCCACACTCAGCGCCTCCCTCTCCCTCCTCCCTCCTCCATTCTGTCAATTACTAGGCTCTGAAAGTCCCCTTCCTCAGTCTCCTGCAGGCCTGGCCATCCTCTCCATTTTATGCTGCAAGGTCCGGCCACTGTTCGCTCAGCAGTTTCTGGCTAAGTCTCCCTGATGGTGCTCTTGTCCACACTGCCATCCAGTCCTTTCACTCCATGACATAGTGAGCTTCTTCTGCTTCCTTTTTTATTTACTCCCTTTTTTACCCCAAAGCCCTCCTCCTTACTCTAATCAATCATTCTAGCATGTTTTATTAGCATTTGTTTTGTTTTGTTTTATAGAGATGGAGGTCTCACTATGTTGCCTCAGGCTGGTCTTGAACTCCTGGTCTCAAGCGATCCTCCCGCCTCGGCCTCCCAAAGTGTTGGAATTATAGGCATGAACCACCACACCTGGCCTCTAGTGTGTCTACTGTGTCTTCTCAGTTTCTAAGTGTTCTTGCAAAATGTGAATTCTTGTGTGTGTGTGTGTGTGTGTGTGTGTATGTGTATATATATATTTTAGACAGAGTTTCACTCTTGTTGCCCAGGCTGGAGTCCAATGGCACAATCTTGGCTCACTGCAACCTCCGCCTCCCAGGTTCAAGCAATTCTCCTGCCTCAGCCTCCCAAGTAGCTGGGATTACAGGTATGTGCCACCACGCCTGGCTAATGTTGTATTTCTAATAGAGATGGTGTTTAACCATGTTTGTCAGGCTGGTCTCAAACTCCTGACTCAGGTGATCCACCTGCTTCAGCCTCCCAAAGTGCTGGGATTACAGGAGTAAGCCACTGCGCCTGGTCAACTTTTGTGTATACATTCTTGATACACTTTTTCCTCTCAGCACTGGGTTTTAGGTCCCATCTAGCAGCCCCTAACTGCTGTGCAGGGCCCCACGGCACCCATCTTCTCCCAAGGGATGGATACCCAGGCTGCCTCCTTTCCCCACCACCACAAAGAACACTGATCAACTTCCTCGTGCATCTCTCTTTATGGACCTGTGGAAGATTCCCCCGAGCTATGTATCTACAAGTGGAACTGCTCAGTCGTGGGTATGCATGAACTTAGTAAGACTGAAGTGACCGAATAATGACAGATGTCTACAGATTGCAGAAGAGCTGCGCCAATTTACCATCTCACCAGCAGTGCCTGAGGTTTCCTGTATCCCTAGGAGGAGGCGCCTTCTAAAGCAGGCATCTGCCTACACCCCTCCCCTGCTTAGCAGCCCACAGTGCCTTCCCACTCCTAGCTGGATGAAGTCTCCCTCCTTAACACAGCCTGCAGGGCTTCCCTGGCTCTAGCCTGGAACTCCTCTCCCCTCTCTCTCTGGGCTCTGTGCACTGCAGGACTGCAGTTGTTCCTTGGTCCCATGTGTCCTGCTCCCTTCCATACATGCTCTTTCCAAACCCCCTGCAGGGGAGTTTCTTCCCTGGGAAGCCTTATCTGACATTTCACCACCAGATGGTCTATGTACCTCCTCGGGACGCCACAGCTCCCGTACTGACCTGCCGTGCTGTTGGTGTCTGTATATGTTTCTGACACTTTCATTAGACCAAAGTTTCTCAACCATGGCACTTTCAACAAATGGGATGGGGAACTCCTTGTTGAAGGACTGTCATGAGCAGAGTAGGATGTTTAGCAGCATCCCCGGCTGCTACCCATTGGATGATAATAGCATACCCCCCAGCCCCCACAAGTGTAACAGCCAGAAACATTTCCAGACATTGTTAAATATTACCTGGGGATCAAAATCACCCCTGGCTGAGAACCACTGTATCAGACTATGAACTGCTAGGGCCTGGGACTGGGTCTTATTCATATGTGTATCGTGGCACCCAGAGCAGGGCTGGCCCAGATTAGGTGCTCAGTAAATGCTGCTAGAATCTGTGGTGGCCAATTACTGGGCAGAGACCCAAGGGCGGGACTCAGAATTCAGGGTTTTGGGATATGCATGATGTCGTGGGGGTGGGGCTGTCTCTTCTTTCCCTTTTTTCCCTTTCCCCGACAGCCACCCAAATCATCATCTCCTTTTGTTCTTATAATATGGGGCAGGGGAAACTGAGACATCCAGCAGACTCACTGTGTGGCCCTGGGGAAGCGACTTCATCCCTCTGCTTCCTCACTTATACAATATGGGCAAAACAGACTACGTAGGTCAATAGTTATTGACTGAGCCAACAAGCCAACGCAAACTCCTCTCAAAGTGATGACTGCTCCAGAGCCTGGGGGATGTCCCAAAAGGAAACAATCAAGATAGAGAGGTAAGCCACATGACATTTATAGGGAGCATGGCTGGAGCTCAACCACCCTGAGGAGGGTTGGGGGCTCAGGGACGTCACTGCTTCAAGGACATCTTCCAGGAGCCCAGTGCCTGCATGATCCAGGAGCGCCGCTGGTGGGAAGTGGGCAGGTTCTCACAGCTGGAGCTCCAGTGGTGCGTGGTGGCCGGGTAACACACCCACGAGTCCCCGTGCGGCAGCCAGGAGTTCTGCCAGCAGCTGGCCAGGATGTGGTCCTGGACCTGGGCCGCGTAGATGCACACTGATGCTTCTGGGTCATGTCTCAAGTTTTCCAGAGCTGCATCATGGGGAAGGGAGAAGCCTCCTGTTAAGATCCAGGGCCCCATGTGGGTCTCATACCTAATTATTTCCATCTCCGTGCCTTGGCTTAAGCACCCTCTGCTTGGCATCCCCTCATCTCACTTTCCTCCTGGCACTTCAAATTATTCACATTTTTCAGAGCCTGAATCAAAATCCGCCTCCTCCAGGAAGCCTTCTTGGACTGTCCCAGCCTACCTTAATGCTGTCATCATATTCCTTGGTTACAAAGTGAGTCAGTCCCCACTTAAGAGTCACCCTGCACTAAACGGCTTTCGGTCTCGCTTTTGAGCCTCATTTCCTTAATGAGATTGTGAGCTCCCCTAGGGTAAGGCTGTGTTCTGTCTCTTGGTAACCCAGTGGTACTTAATGCTATACTCATCCTGGATTAAAAACGAGTAAAACTGGCCAGGCGCAGTGGCTCATGCCTGTAATCCCAGTACTTTGGGAGGCAGAAGCAGGTGGATCACTTGAGGTCAGGAGTTCGAGACCAGCCTGGCCAACATGGTGAAACCCTGTCTCTACTGAATATACAAAAATTAGCCAGGCACAGTGGCATATGCCTGTAGTCCCAGCTGCTTGCCAGGCTGAAGCAGGAGAATCACTTGAACCAGGAGGGAGAGGTTGCAGTGAGCCAAGATCGTGCCACTTCTCTCCAGCCTGGCCAACAGAGTGAGACTCCATCTCAAAACAAACAAACAAACAAAAAACTAGTACAACTGAACTGAGTTGAAGACCCTTGTCTTGGGACACATCCCTTCCCTTTCCCTATTATCCACTGTGATTCTACTCGCTCTCTCACTGTTCCCTGAAATCTCACCAACTCGGGGCATGACTTACCAGCTTTCACTTCATTCAGACGATCTTCTGTCATTATGCTCTCCATGCAGGGGACCAGGGACCCTTGAGTGTAATCCAAGAAGTGAGGGCATTTGTCTTCTGACTTCGACCCCACCCCAACCCACTCTTAGACCAGAGCTCCTCAGAGATGCTTTTCCCATTATCCTCCAACCCCACACATGAGGACACAAAACTTCATTTGAACCCTGGGACACATTCCCCAAGAGGGGTCCTGAAAAGGATGGCTGGTCCAGTGGGCAGGATGGCACCAGGATAGGGGCAGTATCTGGGCTGCAGCTGACTCTGACAGTGCAGCCTCAGACTAGCCCAGTACCCAGGCTGAGGCTCAGTTTCCTCATCTGTGACACAGGGAAGTGCTGCCTCTGCTGTCCACCTCTACGGGGAATTTGAGCAGTAATAACATGTAAGACACTGAGCACCTTGCATACTTGTCAGGCATGGCTATAGCAGGGCCCCGGAGGGCTGAGACTCAGCTATGCTAGGTCAAGGATATGTTTCTGATGACTCCTCTGAGGCATTGCTCATCCCTCCCTTGCTCCCAGCCTGTGAGCCTGGCTCCTGCAGTACTTGCAGGTCCTTGAATGGGTTGTACCTCTCAGAAGGTCCTTCCTTCACTATTGTTTTTTGTTTGTTTGTTTGTTTGTTTGTTTTAGACAGTGTTGCCCAGGCTAGAGTGCAGTGGCATGATCATAGCGCACTGCAACCTCAAACTCCTGAGCTCAAGCAGTCCTCCTGCCTCAGTCTCCTGAGTAGCTAGGACTATAAGCATTTGCCACTATGCCCAGCTAACTTTTTTAGTATTTGTTTTTTGTAGAGATGGGGTCTTGCTATATTGCTTAAGCTACTCTCAAATTCCTGCCCTTAAATGATCCTCTCACCTTGACTCCCCAAAGGACTGGGATTACAGGAGTGAGCCACCCTCCCTGGCCCCTCACTTCGTTTCCTGGTAATTCCTATTTGTCCTTGAATATTCAATTTAATAAGTGGTTCCTCCAGGAAGTCCTTCCTTGCTCCGGATAAGTTAGGTGCTTCTCTAAGTTTCCGGAGTATCTGTGAGCTTTTCTCTATCTGTTCATACCATATTGTATTTTACTTGTGATTTATTAATTTTATCTCTCACCAGACCAGAAGTTACTTAATCTTAGATCCACTGAGGGGTGAGAGTGTGAGGGCAAGGATCTTAGCATCCTAAAATTGCAGGCAAAATTGTATACATACGTGCACTTTTTTCAGGGGAGTATTCATAATTTTCTTCAGAGTCTCACAAAAAAGCCATAACTCAAAAAAGGTTAATAATCACTGCACTGCTCTGGGAGTTATCTGTGGGCAGATCCAGGCTCTACTCAACTCTGTTTCCCCAGCACAGGCCCTGACATAGAGATGATTCCCAGGGTGTTCGACCCTCCATTTTAGAAGTGATTAATTTGGAGCAAGATTTAAAGAAATCAGCACATAGGAAGTAGATGTCTCTGTGCAGCCCTCACATTCTAAGGGATGCCTCCAGTCCTGGGCATTTTTCTTCTGCCCCAGCATGATCATGTTAACAGCCACCCCCTATCACCACACACCTTCATCAGCATCACCTCCTGAAGGGCTCTTTGTCGTTCTAGCCTAAGCATCATACCTCTCACAGAGTAGGGAATCAACGTTTGCTAAATAAACCAGCAGATGGGTGGATGGATGATTGGATGGATGAAAACAGCAAATTAACTTGGGAAAGGTACTAAAAGAAATATCACTTCACAAATGGGATCATTTCCAAGCCTCTTTGCAACAAGGTCTCCTGGCCCTTGATGAAGGGCATGTGGTTATTTGGAGGGAGGGGTGAGTAATGGGAGGAGACACACCCACTTGCCATCAGAAGGGTCCTGTGGGGCCTCTGGTCAAGGGGAACGTGCTTTTGTTTGTTTGTTTGTTTGTTTGTTTGTTTCAAAAAGGCAGAGTTTGGGAATATGGGAAATAGAAGAATGAAGATTGCTAACATTGAGCACCTGTATGTGCCATCCCACTCCCGCTTTTAAAAAATATTCTCATTCAGTCTGTGAAACAGGAGGTGATCCCTATCTTACAGATGAGGAAACTGAGGCTCAGTAGGAGTAAATGATCCAGTTAGGGTGACACAGGAAGGGAACCATGGAACTGAGATTCTACTTGACTCTTTTCACCATGGTACTTGGCTCCTCCTGCTGTTGGCAATGGGGGATTTGCCCAGGCTCCTGCTAGGCTTGTACCCATGCTGTACTCCAGAGAAAAGCAGCAGTTCTGCCATGTACAGTTGCCAAGGTTGTGACCTGCACAAAGACTTCAGACTGAACCCAGCCTGTGGCTCACTTCCTAAGCCATGATCTTAGAGCGGGGAAAACCATTCTAGTTTGCACCATGGCTGTCTGCTGGCCAAGCCTTGCACCCAAAGGGGGGCATCCACCCAAGTGCTGGAAGGGCTAGCAGCCTGGGAGGAAACAAATCAGAGAGCAGGCAGAGCCCTGGCAGCAGGATGACTTATGCCGGGGCAGGTTACCTATGAACATGACTGAGCACTTCCGGAGGGAGGCCCGTGAGTTCTTGGCATATTCCAGGCTCTGGCTGAGGAATATGAAGGCGCTGTCTTGGTGGGTGTTCACCTAGGACAAAAAGAAACCCCAAACGTGCTGGCCCCTCAGAGGAACCAATTGCCCATCCACCCTTCTTGAAGGTAGGAATGGTGACCCTCGCCCCCTGCCTCCTAAATACATCTGCTGCCTCTGCATGAGCCCCCCAGAGGCCAGAGCTTATCTCCTCTTAGCTGATTAGAACAATCACTTCGATGATGTTCCTGCCTTGGGTGTCTCCTCTTCCAATTTGTCCCCATGCTGCAGTCAGAGTGAAAGTTCTAAAATGCAGAACCAGCCAGAGATGGAAATGGACATGGCATGTGAGGGACATAGGTAAGGAGATAGTTTGACAAGAGTGAAGGATTCAAGGTATAGAGCAATGGGGATAAACTGGAGAGTCAGGGGGTCTTAAAAGCCCTTAAAAGCCAGACAAAAATAGGGCTTACTCGTACATTAGGAAATAGGAAGACAACATTGATTTATTCTTAATAGGACAGTGAGAAAGCCATGTTTTGGGTAAAATAGTCTGACAGAGGTAGTCAGGATGGATTTGACAGATAGAAAGTGGGAGAAAGTTGTCCAGCTAAGGAGCTTGTCCAGCTAAGGAGCTGTTGAGGGAGAAGATGAGAAATCTGATCTGATAACTCTCCCGTTGATGACCTATGTATATCAAGGTCTAAACTCCTAGGCCTGGCATGCAAAGCTTCATGATCATATTCTGGGTCTGACCTTCCTTCCAAGTCTCAGTTCTTTCCACTGACTCCACCTGTCATGCCCACCATGCTGCACTCCGAGGACATGGCCAGCTATCCCCAGATCTGCACCCTCTACAAGAAATTGCTCCTATTTGGAGTGCCCTTCCCACTCTTCTTCACATCATAAACTCCCTCTCACTCTTTAAACCTCAGCTCAGATGCCACCTCCTCCCTGAAGCCTTCCACAGCCCTTAGGCAAAGCTCCATCCCACCACCCTTGATGTTTCTAGCAGATCTTGCTCATCTTTTTTCATGACACCTATGACACCATGCTGTAATTATCTATGTTTATCTCCCCTCACTGTATCTGGAGCTCCCCCAAGAGAAGGGCTGTTTCACTCAGCTCAGAGTCTCAGCACCCTGGACAGGGCCTGGCTTGCAACAGGTGCCCAAAAAGTGTCAGATGAATGAATAAACAAATGAATTGGTTACCAGCCCCTTCTTAAAGCTAAGCCTGGAGATTGACCTTCAAATGAGCAAGCTCTTGATGGCCTGAAGAGCAAAGAAGAAACTGCGGACTCAAAGAAGAAACTGAGGACCTGTAGAGGTCACAAGCTGGCAGCCACGGGCCACAGTAGCCTGCAGAGCAATGACAGGCACAGTGTTTAGAAGGTGCTACATCTGGCCAGGTGTGGTGGCTCATGCTTGTAATCCCAGAATTTTGGGAGGCCAAGGCGGGCAGATCACCTGAGGTCAGGAGTTCGAGACCAGTCTGACTAACATGGAGAAACCCCGTCTAAAAATACAAAATTAGGGCGTGGTGGCGTATGCCTGTAATCCCAGCTACTCAGGAGGCTGAGGCAGGAGAATCACTTGAACCCAGGAGTTGGAGGTTGCGGTGAGCAGAGATCACACCATTGCACTCCAGTTTGGGTAACAAGAGTGAAACTCCATTAAAAAAAAAAAAAAAGGCCGGGCGCAGTGGCTCACGCCTGTAATCCCAGCACTTTAGGAGGCCGAGGCGGGTGGATCACGAGGTCAGGAGATCGAGACCATCCTGGCTAACACGGTGAAACCCCATCTCTACTAAAAATGCAAAAAATTAGCCAGGCGTGGCAGCGGGTGCCTGTAGTCCCAGCTACTTGGGTGGCTGAGGCAGGAGAATGGCGTGAACCCAGGAGGCGGAGCTTGCAGTGAGCCGAGATCGCGCCACTGCACTCCAGCCTGGGTGACTGAGCGAGACTCCGTCTCAAAAAAAAAAAAAAGGAGCTACATTGAATGCTAATTCATGTCCTATAAAACTGTAGGCCGGGTGCAGTGGCTCACGCCTGTAATCCCAGCACTTTGGGAGGCGGAGGTGGGCAGATCACCTGAGGTCAGGAGTTCGAGACCACCAGTCTGGCCAACATGGTGAAACCCCATCTCTACTAAAAACACAAAAAAATTAGCTGGGTGTGGAGGCGCACCCCTGTAATTCCAGCTACTTGGGAAGCCAATGCAGGAGAATCTCTTGAGCCCCCTAAAGTGGAGGTTGCAGTGAGCCGAGATCACACCACTCACTGCACTCCAGCCTGAATGACAGAGTGAGACTCTGTCTCAAAAAAAAAAAAAAAAAAAAAAGGTTTCTAGTTTTTCTCATGAAACTAGAGGAGCTGGCAAGAGAGGGGCCTGCACGGTGAGCTTGAGCTCTTCACCCCTACCTTCAATGGGGCCTGGGCTCTTTAGGTTGCTCAGGGACCACCACTTCCACACCACTCATGATTATCTGCCTGGTCACTGGCCACCGTAAGCATTTGAATTAGTGACCCTGGCAGGCACTTCCTCCAGACCTCTATTTCCCACTGGAATGTGATGGTAATATCATTAGACCCTCAACTGCAGAGGCTTTGAGCATTACTGATAACGGTGGTGGCCAAGGAGCTTTTCTCAGTCCAGTAACAATTTGTGGCTTTGTGTATTTATGTTAGATTGGTGTGGGGAGTGATGGACTCCCCAGTCAGATGTCCCTTCACACAGAAGGGATTAATTCCCCCAGCTCTGGGCATCACCTGGACTGAGAACTGCCTGGCCCAAGGTCAAGTCCTTCCCAGGGTGACTGGCATCCAGTGACAGATGAACACAGGAGTGTACAGACCTGACCCCCAGACCAAATTTGGGAATCTCCTGGCAGTGTTGGCTGAGACCTCTGCTGAAGCTACATTGCAACTTGACTTCTCCCTTTGTTATTCCTGTTTCTTCCGCTCCCTTCCACGGGTATTGGTCCCAGGGGCACTCCCTCATGTGCTCACTGCTGCCCACAACAACAGGGAAGGTAGATTGAGACCGCAGGCAAAGCTTCCCAAATGACATGTGGAGGACTAGGCTTTATCCTGCAGAGTTGTGCTTCAGTGTGTGTGTGTGTGTGTGTGTATGTGCATGTGCGCGGCTTGCTCCTACCTCATGATGTTCACAGGTATCACCGAGAAAGGAAGCTCTGTGGTTAAATAAGTTTGGGAAACTATTATATAGACAACCATGAACACATTTCCTCAGCACAAAACATCTCAGAGCCTTTAGTATTCTGATGTCATTGCAAATCTCCAAGAGCAGAATGTCAGTGCAGTATTTCCCAAACTTACTTGTCTTCAAACTTCTTTTCCTCCCTCTGGGGCGTATTTTATGAGACTGGTGTTGCAGGTAATACACTCTGGGAATTGATGTTGTAGAAAAGGAGCCACTGCAGCCCTTGAGGCAGAGATCTCATACAAGCAGACTGTGTTTTAACAAGACCATTCTGATGGCCTGGGTGGGAAATGGATTGGAGCGGATGAAGTTAAAGGCTGGGAGATCCCTTGGGTGGCTGGGCCAATTAGCCTAACCAAGGGATGTCGGTGCCCCGAATTAAGGGCAATGACAGCGGCAGGGTGGGGAGGGAAAAGCAGATTCCAAGATACTCAGAATATTCAAGACTGATCAAGTGTGGAGGGTGAGGGAGATGAAGGAGCCCAAGATGATTCTAGGTTTCTGCTTGGGGGATATAGAGGGAAAAGGAGGAATTGAAAGGAAAAGGCACAGGCTCAAAAGAGACAAACTGAGCTTGAAGTGCCTGTGAGGTATGCAGGAAGCCACTGAACAGAGAACACTAGAAGTCGGGAGAGAAGCCAGAGGTGGAGATGAACATTCCAGAGCCAACAACTTGTAGTTGGTCATGGAAATAGGATGCTGGTGGGAAAAGAAGGAAGAGAGAGACACAGAACTAGGCACCTCCAACATGCTTGTAAGGAACCACTCTACTCTCTGGGAGCACTCACAAGGCACTTGCAAATTTTGGCCACTGTCTGCTGCTGGTTGTCCCACGGCTTCCGGCTATAAGCTCTTTTTGGCAACTCCCAAGCCATGAAATAAGAACAGCGTAACAGGGTCTTCACACATTTCTGGGAACCAATAGGAAGAAAATATCAGAACTGTGGACAGCCAGACTATGGTCCAGAAAAAGGGATTTTGAAAACTGAGTTTCTTTTTGAAATTGTACAAGTGAAGCTGACCATTTTTAATTTTTTAAATTACTATTATTTTATTTTTATTTTGCACATGATTTAGGACCTTTTTCTTTTTTTATACATCAGCTATGACCAGAAGCTGGCCATGTTGAGGAAGAATCCTGATGTGGGCACCTTTAGAAAACAGACATGGCTGGACATACATAACCGCCCCCAGGATTGTTTGCGACTCTGGCTTGGTTAAGGTAAAAAGAGGTGCACCCACAGGGCCCGAGGGAGGGGTAGAGGGTGCAGGGCTCACGCACACTCACCTGGCTCACCTTGGCGTTGCCCTCCTGCATGGTCAGCAGTAGGGGCACCAAGGTGCTGACCAGCTGCTCCTCCATGGCCTGGGTGCGTGGTGCCCGAAGTTTCTGGACCACCTTCCCATACAGGTTGATGCAGGAAGAGCGCACGTCCTCTCGTGACTGGGGAAGACCAAAGGCTCAGAGGGGGTCCCTCCTCTGGGACACCACTCACTGCGGCTGATCCAGAGCCATTGTTCCCCTCACTCAAGCCTAGGTCTGGAGCTCTCCTGACTCTTCCCAGCCAGGCCCCCACTAACCTAAAAGGCACCTGAGTGCTAAGTAGGAAAATGCCTTCCTCCCCTCCTCTGCTAGGGGCAGTTTAAAGAAAAAAAAAAAAAATCTGGCCAGGTGCTGTGTCTCATGCCTGTAATCCCAGCACTTTGGGAGGCTGAGGCGGCGGGATCACGCGAGTCCAGGAGTTCAAGACCAGCCTGGGCAAGATAGGGAGACTCCCATCTCTACAAAAAATGCAAAATTAGCTGGGCATTGGTGGTGCATGCCCATAGTCCCAGCTATCAGGAGGCTGAGGTGCGAGAATTGCTTAAGCCAGGGAGGTCGAGCTGGGATCTTACCACTGCACTCCAGCCTGGTTGCCAGACCAAGACCCTGTCTTTAAAACAAAAAGTACCCCCCTCTAGATGAACCAGTCACAATAAGATGATCCTCTCTGGGGAGACTCGATTGTGAAAGGGCTTCCTCAGTCAGAACCAGTTAGAATAAGGAACCTTTACAAAAAGATGTGGACCAGCTGGGACAAAGTTCCTCTCCCAGTAGGCTGACCCATCCCTGCCCAGGTCCCAGTGGGGGCACAGGAGGCAATGCAGCCCCCAAGGTAGTAAAGGACTCCCTCTTGATCCCTCCCACTCCTTCGCTCTGTGGGGTCCTCACGTCGCTGAAGTGCGGTAGCAGGATCTGCAGCATCTCCACATAGACCGAACTGTCCATCAGCTTCCGGTCCCGCCCCTTGAAGACGGCCTTGAGGTTGTGGACTGCTTCCACCACCAGCATCCCATCCACATTCTTCAGGCCCTTCACCATGGAGGGCAGGAGGGCCTGCACCTTGGCAGTCTGCGGGGCAGGAGCATTTGGGATGAGGGCTCCTACCTGAGCTAGCAAGTAGGAAGAGACCCAGCCTCTGATTCACTGAAATGAACTTGGTGACCCAATCCCCACTTCCAGGCCTTGGCCTATGCCGTCCCACCTGCCTGGAATATCCTCACCCAACCTCTTGCTGCTCCTCAAAGCCCTCTTTGGCCTCACTGACTCCTTGGCTGGGACCCCTGAGGCCCTTTGCTGTCTACCCCCTTCCTTGGTTCTAGGCAGATGACACGCTGTGTCATTAGTTAGCTTTCTGAGTCTATGTTCTGTCCTTTCATAGCAGCTACATCATGAACTGCAACAATGCCTGGTAGAGAAAAACAAAGCACTTTTAAAAATGCTAATGATGCACCAACAATCTGGGCTCAGTTTCCTGATCTGTAAAATAGGAATACTTGTGCCACCCTTTGCCCTTCCTATACACACTGCCTTTAGAATCATTGCGAAAAACCTAGATTAGAAACTATTCAAAAGGAATAAAATAGATAGATTTTTAAAGGATATCTATTTTAGAGATGGAGCAACTGAGGCTGAGATAGAAATGGTCTCTGATTCCAGCTGTGGGCTTCTCAGGGACTATAATGGCCAAGCTCTGTCCTTCCTCCAGCCTGGGGCCTGGGTGGGCCAGGCTTTGCTCCGCCTCCCACTCACCTTGTCAGTCCTGCGGGCCAGGATGACCAGGCCTCGAATGGACAGCACCTTCATGATGGGGTCATGGTGGCTCAGGCCTTCTGCCATCCGCCCCAGAGAGTATTCCTCGGGGATCCGGCGCACCTGCTCCATCTGGAGGAGCTGAGGGAGCAAAGGGTCATTACTTCCCAGGCTGAGGCGGGCAGGGCAGCCCCCTGGCCTCCCATGCACTGGGATTGCACATTGGATAACAGGCTCAGCTCTGCCCAGAGCTTCAGACTTGCGAAACCAACAGATTGCTGGAAGTCTCCGTCTGGTGTCCATCAGCACTGTGCAGCAAAGCTGAGTGTGTCACTCTCCAGCTCCAAGCCCCTATGACTGCCCGTTGTTGCCTTTACTGTCAGGCCTCTGCCTGCCCTGTGGCCTCATTAACAGCAGCATGCCCACCCCCCAGCCCACACCCTCACCACCAGTCAGCCAGCTTCCAACCAAGCTGTCCCCTGTTCCCTGAATTACCCAGGCTGTTCCACCCCTTCTGTGCTGGCAAAATGCCCTTCTGCTGGGATGCCACCTCCACTCTGACCCCTGCTACCTCACAGGGCTTCAACCAAAACTCAGAGCCTTGAAGCTAGGCTTGACATTGCCCCTGGCCTCATTTAGGCTGAGTGCCTTCTTCCCTGGGGCCCTAGGTGCCCTGGGCTTCCTCCCGAAGCAACACCTGGAAACCTTCAGTGCCTCCATCTGCCTCCCCTGTCCAACGGGGCGCTTCTCTGAGGACAAAACCCGAGTTGTTCCTCCATGGGCCCCTGTTAACTGACATCAACTCTGGTGCGGAATATGTGCTTAGGGACTGCTTGCTGCATGAGTTCAGGTCCAACATGAATCTTGGCTCGGGCTGGGCACGGTGGCTCATGCCTGTAATCCCAGCAACTCAGGAGGTCAAGGTGGGTGAGTCACCTGAGGTATAGAGTTCGAGACCAGCCTGGGCAACATGGTGAAACCCCCGTCTCTACTAAAAATACAAAAAATTAGCCGGGTGTGGTGGCATGCGCCCCAGCTACTCCGGAGGCTAAGGCAGGAGAATCACTTGAACCTAGGAGGTGGAGGTTGCAGTGAGCCAAGATCACACCACCGCACTCCAGCCTGGGCAACAAGAGCGAGACTCCACCTGGAGAAAATAAAAGAAAGGAAGGAAGGAATGGGAAGGAAGGAAGGAATGGGAAGGAAGGAAGGAAGGAAGGAAGGAAGGAAGGAAGGAAGGAAGGACGAGGTGGCTGACACCTGTAATCCCAGCACTTTGAGAGGCTGAGGCAGGTAAATCACCTGAGGTCGGGAGTTTGAGACAGCCTGGCCAACTTGGGGAAACCCCTACTAAAAATACAAAAATTAGTTGGGCGTGGTGGCGGGTGCCTGTAATCCCAGCCACTCAGGAGGCTGAGGTATGAGAATCACTTGAACCTGGGAGGTGGAGGTTGCAGTGAGACAAGATGGCCCCACTACACTCCAGCCTGGGTGACAAGAGCGAAATTCCATCTAAAAAAGAAAAGAAACTTGACTCCTTTCCTCCTTAGGCGTGCCCTCCTCTTGCACTCCCTGTGGCAGGGTTAGCACTACCAGCCCCCCATCGTCCAAGCTGCACACCAGCCTCACCCTCATCTCCCTCCTCTCCCCCACTGGCCTCCGCACCCACAGCAGCCAACAGGTCTTCAATGCCCGCTGCATCACTCTCATAAACGCTTCTCCCCTCCATGCTCTTGCCTGACATCTCCTGTGACTGTGGGGCCCATGGGTCTGCATTGTGGGAGGAAAGAGCTGGGGAGAGGCAGAGCTGGAGGAGGGGGCAGGACAGGTCACCAGGGGGAGGAGGCAGAAAAGGAGGGGCTCCACCTATCCCCCGCCCTCCACCAATTTACACCACCAATATTCAGGCCTGCTGTGCACAGCTTCTGGGCTTGGCACTGGAGACACGGAAAAGAGTCACGAGAACCCTAACAGCAATTTAACTGACTCACAGATAGCACTTCCTATGTGCCAGGCACTGTTCTAAGTGCTTTATGTGAACTCACTATCCTCATCAAAACTCTAGGAGATGGTCATCATTGCCATACTACAGGTGAGGAAACTGAGGCACAGGCAGGTTAAGTGACTTGCCCAAGGTGGCACAGCTCCCTTAAGGAGTTCACTGCCACTGGGAGAAGGGAGCACACACACCATCACAGCAGAGAGGGTGACAGGAAGCCAGGGCAGAGGGGATGAGCTGGGGGTGGGGGGCAGCGTCTGAGCTACATCAAAGCACCACGGCTTTAATGGGGGGCTGACTCTGGCCAGGAGCAGGCACCTCTTCTGGGGAGGTGGAGAAGACTGAACCTGGGCGAAGACCCTTGCTGCAGGGAGGAAGGGCCGCTGCTCAGGAGCCCAGGGAATGCTGGGGACAAGTTAAACCTAGAGTCCCTGACCTTGTGGTGGACGTAGGAATGCCCCATAAGGTCTGGCAAGATCCAACCTCCCTCCTCTCATACAAAAACCCATGTGGTAGCCACTAACAGACTTAGAAGTGCCTCTCCCAAGAGGCTGACCAAAATAGAGGACTGTGTCCGGCAGGCCTGCTCTGAATCTCTCTGGACTCTCTGAGCTCTGTGACCTTGAAAAATTCCCCTTAACTCCCCTAAGCATGGGTGTCACAAATCCTTCTCGGCAGGGTTGCTGTGCAGGTTAGTGAGATAACATTTGAAAGAGGTCAACACAAGTGTTTGGCACGTTGTAGGCCTGTAAGAAATGGTAGTTTCCCTTTCTCTTTCCCTCACCATGGTCAGGGAAATTGGAGTTAGAACTGGGCGGAGCTGGGGCTGGAACCCAGGACTTCCAACCCCAGGGCCAGGGTTGTTCTCCCTGGAGGTGACACATTCTGCTGGCACCTGCAGAGCCAGGCAGTGTTTATTCATCCATCCCATCCCCACTTCTTGGGGCACCTGGGGGTGCAATGCCAATGTGACATGGCCCCTTCTCCCAACTCACAGCCCACCTGGAGTGGCAGAAAAGATGACAAAAGCACCTAGGATGTCAATGCTGCCTCTTGTTCATTTGGCAAACTTTCAGGTTCAGCTTAAATGTCATCTCCTCCAGGAAGCCCTCCTTAACCTTCACACTATCCAAGCAGACAATGAGCCTCCTGCCTCTGACCCTCACTATACAGACCCTGGTGATAGCCCAGACCTGCCTCATGACAACTATCAGGTCACAAGAGCTAGGTAAGCATGGTGGTTAAAAGAGTGGGTTTTACACTGTCAGTCAACAGACAAATGGATAAACAAAATGTGGTATGTACAGGAAATGAAATATTCAGCTTTAAGAAGAAAGGAAATTTTGGCCAGGGGCGGTGGCTTACGCCTGTAATCCCAGCACTTTGGGAGGCCGAGGCGGGCGGATCATTTGAGGTGGCGGGCGGATCATTTGAGGTCAGGAGTTCAAGACCAGCCTGACCAACATGGGGAAACCCTGTCTCTACTAAAAATACAAAAATTAGCCGGACATCGTGGCGCTTGCTTGTAATCCCAGCTACTCAGGAGGCTGAGACAGAAGAATTGCTTGAGTCTGGGAGGCAGAAGTTGTTACGTTAAGTGAAATAAAACAGGCACGAAAGAAAAAAAAAAAAACTTGGGCAACAGAGCAAGACTCCATCTCAAAAAAAAAAAAAAAGTAAGGAAATTCTGACGCATGCAACAATTATAGATAAATCTTGAAGACATTATGTTTAGGGAAACAGTCAGGCACAAAAGGACAAATATTGTATGATTCCACTTACATAAGATACCTAGAAGAGGCAAATTCATAGAGATAGAGAGTAGAATAGAGGTTACTAGGGGCTGGGGGAGGTGGAACAGGGAGTTTGCATTTAGTGGGTGTCGACTTTCAGTAGTGAAAGATACGAAAGTTCTGGAGATGAATAGTAGTGATGGTTGCATAACAATAATGAATATATTAATGTCATTGAACTGTACACCTGAGACGGTTAAAATGGCAAATTTTATGTTACGTATATTTTACCATGTTTTTTTAAAAACTAAAAGGAAAGGGGAGGGTTTTAGAGCCCGAATGTCTGGATTTGAATCCTGGATCTGCCACTTACAAGCTGTCTGGTCTTGGGAAAGTTTCTTAAATTGATGCCTCGGGGTTTTTTTCTCTAAAATGGGGCATAGAATAGTATCTGAGTCATAAGATTAGTGTGAGACCAAATGAATCAGTGTGTGTAAAGCTCTTAGAACATGCTTGGAAGACAGTAAGTGCTCAATAAATATTAGCTATTATTGTTAGCAAGTCCCTCTCTTCCAGGTCTGTCCCTATCAACTGCTCCTGACTCACCTCTCCCCAGCACCTCCCCAACACACACTCAGCTTAGATGTCACCTCCTCCAGGAAACCCTCCTTCCCTGATGCCTCCCTCCCTCAAGTCACTTGTTTCCCTACCACAGCCTGGATGGCCCCATCATAGCCCAAGTCACTCACTGGCATCACTCCCATGTTATAACTGGGGTGTCCTCTGTGTCCTCTGCCACACCAAAAGTTCCTTGAGGGCAGGGTAGAGTCAAATTCACCTTTATATGTCTGGTGCCTGACACACAGAGGTGCCCAGCAAAGGTTGTTGGTTCCCTGGGCACTAGGGGAGTCTGGTTAAGAGTGGAATGGGGTAAAGGGTGGAGAGACAGGGAGAGGAGGGAGGGAGACTAACAAGGTCATCATAGTCAAGAGAAATCACGCCCATGGGAAGGCTTTGTAAACTATAAAGTACTGTTTATATAGGAGAAATGGCCAGTGACATGAACCGAGACCCGGGAGGAGCTCCCGCTGTGTACCAGCTGCCCCTGTTGGTACCTCCACGAAGAAGGCGGTGGCCGTGATCTTGTGCTTCTCGTCGCCTCGCTCCAGGAGCGGGATGAGCAGGTAGAGGATGCGGCACAGCTCCTGGCAGGAGTAGTGCACCATGGCCCTGGGGGTGGGGAGGAGGAGCAGTCCCCTCAGGTCTCCAGCCCCAGGGGGACCTGTGGGGGGAAGTTGCTTGTGACACTGGAAATCCTGGGTAAGCCAGGATCACCTGGATTCGGGCATTCCCAGGATTTTCCACCTGGGTGGGATCTCAGAGGTCATCTGGTTTCACTGCTTCATTTAACAGATGAAGAAACTGAAGCCCAGAAGGGGAAAGAGACTTGCCTGAGGGCACAGCACAAATCAATAAGAGAGGCAGGCTGAAGACCCTCAGCTGCACAGGACCACGTCAGGCAGCAGAGCGAGGAAGGAGAGGGTGTGAAGGCCCACTCACCAAGCACCAGGCAGCAGGCACACGCTTTCACATTGTTACTCCATCTGATCCTTCGAAGCAGGTTACTGTTATTATCCCCATTTCATAGGTGAGGAAACAGAGGCTCTAAGTGTGAACTGCCCACGGTCACAGAGCTAGAAAATGGCAGAGCTGGAGCCCCAACCGAGGGCTCACGTTCCAGCTGCCTGGTTCATTCTACTAAGCCAGTGGTCCTCTAAGTGCCACCCCCACCCAACCAGAGCATCAGCACCAGTTGGAAGCTTGTTAGAAGTGAACCATCCCAGGCCAGGCACGGTGGCTCAGGCCTGACCACTTTGGGAGGCTGAGACGGGCAGATCATTTGAGGTTAGGAGTTCAAGACCAGCCTGGTCAACATGGTAAAACCCCGTCTCTACTAAAAATACAAAACAAATTGGCTGGGTGTGGTGGCGCATGCCTGAAATCCTAGCTACTTGGGAGGTTGAGGCAGGAGAATCACTTAAAACCCCAGAGGCAGAGGTTGCAGTGAGCCGACATCGTGCCACTGCACTCCAGCCTGGGTAACAGAGTGAGACTCCATCTCAAAAAAGAAGTGCACCATTCCAGATCCACTAAGCAGGAACTCTTAGGGCGGGGGCACAGCAACCAGTGTTTTAACAGGCCCGGCAGGTGATTCCATTGCACACTTAAGTCTGAGGAGCACTGCGTTACACTCCACCATCAGTGAATGTAGTGCAGTCTGGCAACCATGCCTGGAGTCTGGAATGAGACAGCTGGGTTCAAATCCTGGCCCCAGCACTAGCTGTGTCACTTGGGGAAAGATGCTTAACTTCTCTGGGCTTCCATTTCCTCATGTATAATGCTGGGATAACAATAGTGCTATTTCACTGAGGGCCGTGGCTCACGCCTGTAATCCCAACATTTTGGGAGGCCAAGGCAGGCAGACCACCTGATTTCAGGAGTTTGAGAACAGCCTGGCCAACATAGTGAAACCCCATCTCTACTAAAAATACAAAAATTAGCCCAGCATGGTGGCGCATGCCTGTAATCCCAGCTACTCTGGAGGCTGAGGCAGGAGAATCGCTTGAACACAGGAGGCAGAGGTTGCAATGAGCAGAGATCGCGCCACTGCACTCCAGCCTGGGCGACAGTGCAAGACTCTGTCTCAAAATAAATAAATAAATATGCTACTTCATCGGTCATGGTGAGGATTAAATGGGATCATCCATGCGACAGCTCTCTGCATGGTGCCTAAAGCATAGTAAGTGCTCAGCAAATGTGATTGTGTCCTGAGATCCTGGGGAAAGCACCACCAGGAGCACTCAGGGTGCAGGGCTAAGATGCAGGCTCTCCTGCAGGAGCCACAGCGTTGGAATCAAGGTGTTCCCTCTTGACCCCATGGGAAGTTGTGCGTGGCCTAGGGAAGAGCTTTGGTCAGCAGGTCACTTCTCAGCTCTGCCACCTCCTGTCTGTGTGACTTTGGGCACATGACAGTTCCTCCCCAGACTTGGCATGTTCCTGTGCAAAATATGTATTAATCACCCCTGCCCCACCAGTGACTATAACTGTAGTAAAAATTAGCCTGTGTGGAGCTCTTACCATATGCCAGGGGCTGTTCAAAGTACTTTAATTAATCCTCTCCCCAACCCTCAGAGGTGGGTCTGACTATTATTTCCACGCTATTGAGGGAGAGTGGAGACTCAGAGGGAAGGAACTTGTCCCGGGTCACACAGGTGGCAAGTGGCAAGCTGGGGTTCAGATGCAGTCAGGCCATCTGCAAGGCCACACCTCAACAACTCGGTTATACCACCGTTTCTGTATTGGCATGGGAACTAAATTCATAATGCACGAAGGAAAGGTGCTTTGTGGATAGTCTAAGTGCTCCACAATGGCCAGGAACCTCTGAAGAGTGAGTGCCATCTTTAACATTTGTATTGTCCACCTGCTGAGGAAGACAGCACCCTCTCCGCTGTAGTGAAGAGGTGATAGACTGAGGAAAGCGTCTTGCCCAGAGAGAGATGCAAACCCAAGTCCATCAGAAGATCCTGAGGTCTCCCTCTTTCTCCCTCCCACCCCAACCCCAAGGTGGTCCTGGGACTCACCTTGCCAGCAGGGCCACTCCGCGGTGGTGGCTCTCCGCCTGCTCCATGAGCTCCCAGCCGCGCTGGTCCTCCAGAAAGGTGGTCTCATAAGAGCAGCCCATCCTCAGCAGCAGGGTTTTCACCACTTTCACCACCCAGCTGCCAAGACAAGGCAATTGAGACCTCATGCCTAGCCGGGCTCTAGCAGGCCGAGCCTCCCCCTACCCCGACCGTTCCTGCCATCTGGCCTGACAAACTTCTCTTCACCATGTTAGGTAGGGGTATCCAGTGTATCCACAAAGGGTGACTTTTTACAAATAATCATTAGCTTTTAGAACAAGAGAGGAAACAGAAGCAAAGTCCACCTCCCTATGAAGGCTGTGCTTTTACCTCTGGGACCAGCCTCTCTCTCACCCTCCACATCAGCCACGGGCTGGGCAGGCAGCTTCTCTGCTCACTCACAGTCTCCTAACTGGGCCGAGTCCCTCTCCAACTCAGGACACTTAAGGAGTGATTCTCAAACTGGATGCCCAGCAGCAGCCCTTGGGGAGCTTTTATGACCCGCCAACTGACCAGACTGGGGCTCCTGAGTAGCTGGGATTACAGGCCTGCGCCACCACACTCAGCTAATTTTTGTATTTTTAGTAGAGATGGGGATTCCCCATGTTGGCTAGGCTGGTCTTGAACTCCTGATCTCAAGTGATCTGCCCGCCTCGGCCTCCCAAAGTGCTGGGATTAGAGGCGTGAGCCACCGCGCCTGGCCTACATACACTTTTATTAAAATAAAAGCTGACACTGTATAGAACACAGCTTACATTTAAACAAAGTTTTCCAGAAACCTAAACATTTGCTGAAAGAGTTTATGGTGCACTTTGTGGACATACCTCAGATGATACTGAGAGCTGATGGCTCTCATGATTCCAAAGAAAGGACTTAAGTAATCAGGTAGTCCTCAGAAATTTGCCCTTCATTTTCAGGTTTTTGCTTTTGTAATGAATATTGATCTGGTGTGAAAATAAAAGTTTCTCCTGAGGCCAGAATTTTAGAATCATTCAACCTCTGTGCTTATTGTTTGAAATGTGTGCTATCAATGATAGTCTCCCACTGGCAATGCCTTCAGCATTCAGAGTTACAAACAAAAGGGAGGGAGAAAGACAGGTAGGCTCCGAGCGTTGTCCAGTTCCCCCATCACCATTCTCTTCCCTCTGCAAGTGCTGGCTGAATGGCTAAGCTGAGATGTACAGGTTTTTGTCTGAAGAAAGGTTGTTCTCTTCGAGTTTGGGCACTAGCACCTTCACCTAAAACAGAATGAGCCTCCTGCATATGTTCCTCCGGTGACTGGACCACCCTCCCCTCCCTGTGTGTCCCTATCTCCAGGGTCATCGCTTTGGACACCTTCTTACAAACTGGCTTGGGCACAGATTGAGCTCCGGAGCTCAGAAGGGAATGACCTGACTTAGAGTTTCTAGGTAGCCACGGCTTGGCCAGCCCTCCCAGTCCTCATTTGTTGTGTGACGAATATGTATTTGGGCCAAAACTTCTGAACTCAGAACTGCATCATTCGTAGTTGATCCTCTCTGTCACTTCACCTCACTCCCTCAATCAGGCTTCATATTTTCACAAAAATGATCCTGGGTTTCCCCTCCCCCTCCCTCCCACCCTGACCCCAAGGTGGTCCCAGGCCTCACTTCCCTCCCTTCTCACCCCATTCCCAAAGTTATACCTGCGACAGCCTAGATGGCGCCCATGCTGCTTGGTGGAAAAATAGAGTGGAAACTCTTGGGAGGAGGGCTGTGCTATGGGTGATGGGGTGGCTTTTGTGTCCCCAAACACTCACTCTGCAAGTTTCACCCTTCTAAAAGGCGTTCTCAGCAAAGTGGAGCAAGGGACACCTTGAAATATTCACTCTCTGTCCCTGCACTGGGACACCAGAGCCAATGATTGATTTGACATGGAGTTGCTTTCTTTTTTTAAGATAGGGTCTCACTCTGTCACCCAGGCTGGAGTGTAGTGGCATGAACATGGTTTACTGCAGCCTTGACCTCTTGGACTCATGCGAACCTCCTGCTTTATTCTTCCGAGTAGCTGGGACCACACACCTGGCTAATTTTCTATTTTTTTGGAGTGATGGGTTTTCGCCATGTTGCCTAGGCTGGTCTCAAACTCCTGGCCTCAAGCAATTCTCCTACCTTAGCCTCCCAGAGTGCTAGGGTTACAGGCGTGGGCCACTGCACCCAGCTGGAGCTGCTTTAAAGCCCAGGGCTGCTGAAAGTTTCACCTTCCTGGAAGGCACAGAAACTGGGCTTCACAGGACAAGCTCTCAGGCCACTCCCTCCTCCTCCTTCAAACCCAAGCTGTTTGCAGAGGTAATTGTTGCACTCATTACCAGAGCCTGCCTCTCCTCTAGGGAGGATGTGACCACCTTGTGTGCTGTCGTTCCGTGGAGCTATTCCACCTCATCACTGCAGTCTGGAGCACCCACAATTTGCTCCGGTGCCATACCCCAGAGGATTCATTTCCTGTATAAATCACCACAACCTGGGTGGCTCAAAGCAACAGAAACAAATTCTTTTGCAGTTCTAGAGACCAGATATCCGAAATCAAGGTGTCAGCAGGGCCACAGTCCTCTGAAGAGCCCAGGGGAGAATCTTTCCTTGCCTCTTGTGGCTTCTGGTGGCTCCCAGCACTCCTTGGCTTGTGACCACATCACTCACTCTCTGTCTTCATCAGCCTTCTCCCCTTTGTCTGGGCCTCTCTTCTCCTTATAAGGCCACTTGGCATTGGATTCAGTGCCCACATGGTTAATCCAGGAGGACCTCATCTTGAGATCCTTAATTATATCTGCAAATACCCTTTTTCCAAATAAGGTCACCTTCATAGGTTCTGGACAGACATGTTTTTTGGGGGCCACCATTTAGACCACTACATCTCATGGCTTTTCTGGCCCCCCTTCAGCCTGGCACATGCCTGCCTCTGCTTTTTCTGCCTCTCAGGCTGCTTCTGAGATGCTGAGGTAAGGTGATACTTGGGCACTCCTCCAGCTTCTCCTTGATGTCCTCAGTTGAGCCCTAGCCTCTGCATTGGCAGGTCACACCTTTCATCACTCCAAGGTCAAGAACTGTTTCCCATATGTGTTCCTCCTCCCCCTCCAGAGCCTCCTTTTTTTCCCTAGAGCCCGTCAGCTTTCTGGGCGATGCTCTCAGGGCGGCGTCTACAAGCATGAGCAGGAGGGGAATGGGAACTGGCCGCACTGCTGGCAAATGGTGTCTTGCTGGGATGCAACCCCATCTGGTCCTCACAGCACACCAGTGGGGCAGGAATCATTTATCCATTTCATAGGCAAGGAAACCAACTGCCAAGAGATAAAATTCATTTACCCAAAATACAACGTTCTAGGTGATGAAGCTAGGATTTGAATCCAAGACCTTCAGACACAAGCCCACTACACAACTGCTTGCCCTCTGCCTCTCTAAATGCACCTTTCTGTGCATAACACACAATAGGAGTCATAGAAGTAAAAACTGATAAACGGCTACATGAAAATTAAACATTTCTGGCCTGGACATGGTGGCTTACACCTATAATCCTAGCACTTCGGGAGGCCAAGGTTGGAGGATCACTTGAGCCTAGGAGTTTGAGACCAGCCTGGGCAATATGGCAAGACCCCCATCTCTACAAACGATGTGACGGAATCTCGCTGTGACGCCCAGGCTGGAGTGCACTGGTGCGATCTTGGCTCACTGCAACCTCTACCTCTCAGGTTCAAGTGATTCTCCTGCCTCAGCCTCCTGAGCACCTGAGATTATAGGCGCCCACCACCACACCCAGCTAATTTTTGTATTTTTAGTAGAGACGGGATTTCACCATATTGGCCAAGCTGGTCTTGAACTCCTGACTTCAAGCAGTGAAGTCAGGCTCAAGTGGGAGGATTGCTTGAGCCTGGGAGGTCAAGGCTGCAGTGAGCCATGTTTGCGCCATTGCACTCCAGCCTGGGCAACAGAGTGAGACCCTGTCTCAAAAAAAAAAAAGAAAAGAAAAAAAGCAAACTCAATGTCATTCATGATAAGAGAAACACATACTAAAACTACAGCAAAATTCCATTTTTTAACTCTAATATTGGCAAAGATAAAAATGTTTTATAACTCATTGTGTTGGCAAGGGTGTGGGGAAATAGATACTCATGCACTGCCGGTGGCAGTGTCCTCTGTGAGAGGCAATTTGGCAAACTGGATGTTTTAGGAGTCACTCCATTTTATCCTTTATCATGCAATGGTCAGGAGCTTTTTTCTATCACCTTAATATGTAATGCAGAAGCCCTTTGATGTGCGCATTCTACTTTCAGGAATTGTCCTACATATGCAATCGCACGTACACATAAAGACATATAAACAAGCAAACTCACTGCAGCCTTGTAAATGCCAAAGGCTGGAAATCAGTGAAATCCAGAGAAGCCTGGTTAAATAAATTACGGTGCACTGGGATCCTATACGTAGAGATACTATGCAGCTGTTAAAAATAAGGAGAGAGCTTGGCCGGGTGCAGTGGCTCACGCCTGTAATCCCAACACTTTGGGAGGCCAAGGCGGGTGGATCACCTGAGGTCAGGAGTTCAAGACCAGTCTGGCCGGCCAACGTGGTGAAACCCTGTCTCTACTAAAAATGAAAACAATTAGCTGGGCATGGTGGCAGACACTGGTAATCCCAGCTACTCGGGAGGCTGAGGTAGGAGAATTGCTTGAACCCAGGAGATGGAGGTGAGCTGAGATCCCGCCAACGCACTCCAGTCTGAGCCACAGAGTGAGACTCCATCTCAAATAAATAAATAAGGAGACAGCTCTACAATACAATGGTCTCCAAGACATAGTATGCAAAGAAGGCAAAAAATGTGACGTGCTGCCATTGGTGTAAAAGTACAGAATATGAGCAAATGTGTTTATCCCTGCATAATCCTCCTCTGGGAGGGCATGAAGAACCTGGTTGTCTTTGAGAATGTAACTGGGGTAAGGACAGGGAAGGAAGCTTCCTTTTAATGTCTTTTGAGTATTTTACCCATGTGCCTATATTATCTACTCCAATTAATACTAAAAAATAAAGTATCTGGGCCTTGGATACAAACCTAATACAAATAATATCTCTAGAGGGGAAGGAAGAAAAAGAGTGAACTCCTTGGGGAGGGCTGATTCTTTCCTGTGATCTAGACTAAACACAGTGTGTAATGCACAGAGCAGGTGCTCAAAAACAGTTGCTGAATGAATTATTGGCTCTAATAAAAGTGTGCTTCTGTTTTCTCTTCCAGTCCCAAAGCTAATTTCTATTGATTGATTGCCTGGAGACTTTTGGAGGCTCTGGCTGGATGGCCCTTCCCACCGCCAGGGACAGCAGGGTCAAGAGAGACGGCAGAGCATACCGCACAGGTACGAAGGCAGAGGGCTGTGCGCCCTTCTTGGTGTCCTTGGGAAAAGCCACGTAGCCAGGCAGGTTGAGGCCAATGTGGTAATGGACCTGAATAAGCAGGGCCAGGAGCAGCTGCGGGTAGATGCGCCTCACACGGCCCATGCAGCTATTGACGGACAGGAGCTCGCACAGGCCACTGGCTGCCTATGGGGCAGAGGAGAGGGGGCTGGGATGCTGTGGCCCATCTTCCCAGCACTCCTGGCTGGGGCCTGGACTGCCTCTCTGGGAGGTAGGATCTGGGTCTTTGCTGTCCTCTGGCCCAGCCTGGGGAAGCTAGGATTCCCCACCCCACAGACCCAGACCTCTGACTCTCTGGGTAGGCCCTGTCCCAGAGCAAGGACAACAGTTCACCCCTTAGTTTTGGTCTAGGGCTTTGATGTTTATGCAACCTTGGAAGAATCATGGTGGAAGAATCGCTTCTACCTCCTGAGAGGTAAAGAGTCTTGATCCCATTTTGCAGGTGAGGAGACAGACTCAGAGGGGTGAGGCTGCTAGCTCAAGGTCACCAGCCCCTTGGGGCAGAGCTGGAACTTGAACCCAGGTTTTCTGATACCAACTATAGCATGCTGTGCCTCTTCCTCACTCACAACACAGGCACACAGAATGTAAGGGGCACCAGGCTGGCCTCTTCACCCCAGGCCATTAAACTAGGCTGTCCTCACTCCCATTCCCATGAGACCAGCAGCCAAGAAAAACAACACCAGGCCTTGAGCAAGAGCCTGGCTCAAGTGCCAGCTCTACCCCCAAGGACGGGTGACCTGGGGCAACTTCTCCACCTGCCAGTCCAGCTCTGGACCTGGCCTGGGCCCACCCTCATACTTGGCCCACCAAGTCCTCTCTAACTGACAGAAGGGCAATACTAGGGGGTGGGGAGCGGATGATGGGCTGGTATCACAAGACTCATGACTCATTCTGGCTCTGCCACTCCCTGGCACCTGTGGGCCTCAGATCTCTGAAAAGTGGTGTCACTGATCATCATCCATCCAGTCCCACAGGAGTGTTAGAGCCTGAATGAGAGGGCGAAGGAAAGCATGCTTTATACATCAATGGTTTGAGCTGTGCCATTAGGACTCCATGCAGGCCAGACACAGTGGCTCATGCCTGCAATCTCAGCACTTTGGGAGGCCAAGGTGGGCAGATCACTTGAGGTTAGGAGTTTGAGACCAGCCTGGCCAACATGGGAAAACCCCATCTCTACTAAAAATACAAAAATTAGCCAGGTGTGGTGGCAGGTGCCTGTAGTCCCAGCTACTTGCCTGTAGTCTCGACTGAGGCACGAGAATCACTTGAACTTGGGAGGTGGAAGGGTTGCAGTGAGCCAAGATCGTGCCACTGCACTCCAACAACGTGGGTGATAGAGCAAGACTCAGTCTCAAATAAAAAAAAAAGACTCCATGCATCTGGGCCAAGAGGAAAGCATTTAACTGCAAAGTGGAAGAACCCCTGACACGTTCCCTTGGAGAAAAGTGACCTAACATGGGCTGGATGAGAACAATAAATGGCAGTTAATTTGCGCTTTACAGCTTAAGAAGTTCTTCCGCACACACTGTCTCCCCTTTCTCAACAAGTAAGATAGACAAAGCAGGAGTTATCACAGCCCGTTTTACAGATGTAAGCACCAAGGCTAGAGAGGGGAAGTGATTGACCATGGTTATATAGTGAGGCAGTGGCAGAGCTAAGACAAGTCTCTTGAACTCAAAGCCCTTGTACTTTTTCAGCAGCCCAAAGCTAATGATTACATCCAAAGAACACAGTCTGTGGTGTAAGGGAAAAGTCTCTAGTGATGTGTCATAGGGCTCTGCTTTTGGCTCTATCTTGCTCAAATGATTTATCAGGGCCGTAAGATAAGAATGAGTTCAGGCTGTATCCACGCTTAAACTATGCTTGCTGGACAAGAAGCACAAATGAGTGACTAAAGAATACACTAACATACACCAATTGTAGAAGAGGATGAATGCCCAAATTACAAGGGAAGGAGTGCTGGTGCCTGATGCACAGAACTCAGTGCTGGAGGACAAAGGCAGAGAGATATGGGAGTGAAGCACAGGATTTGGAAGCAGAAGATCTGCTGGGTTTGAGTCCTAGCACCACCACTGCTAGCTAGGTGACCTGGGGGTGACATGGAATGTCTGTAAGCAGGAGCATCCTCCTCTGTAATGGGATAATACTACCCTCTCCTTCATCTACTATCTCTTTATTTGCTTCCCTTCACCAGAATGTCTCGCTGCTGAATCCCCAGAACCTACAAGTGTGCTTGGCACATAGTATAGGAGGTATTCACTAAACATTTGTTGAATAAATAAATCAGCCCAACAAAAACATTTCTGAGTGCTTACTATGCGCCAGGTGTATGCAAGATGCTGGGGATATCGTGGTGAGCACAGCGGGACAGCACTGTCTTCATGCATCTCACAGATTAACCAAAGGATCCCCTGCAGTGTTGTCAAATGACAACTGGTGTAAACTCTTTTCATACAAAGTATGTGAAGCAAAATACAATATGTACAGATTTGACCAGGTCAGGGAGATCGGGGAGGGCTTCCCTGAGGAAGTGATGCTGGAGTTAAGAGCCGAAGGATGAGCAGAAGCTAGCTTGGTGGAGAGCATTCTAGGTAGAGGAAACAGCATGTGAAAGGCCCTGTGACCAGATAGCATGGCTGGATGAAGTTCTGACAAAGACCCAGGGGCTGGAGCAAAGCAAACAAGAGGACCATGGAGGGTGGGGAAGCCGGCCAGGGATGCAGGGCCTTCGCCACAGGTAGGAGCACTGTGTCACTCTTGGGGACAATGAAAAGCCATCAAGGGGGCTGAGAAAAGGAGATGTGCATTTCTCAAAGACTTCTTGGCTGCAGTACAGATTGGAGGGGCAGGAGCAGAATCAGGAAGGTGAGCAGGGGTATTACCCAACTGGCATGGACCAGGGTGGTGATAGAGGCAGAGGGAAATCCATCTCTTCAGCCCAGCTGGCTTCCTGAGTCAGAGTTGCCTTTCCCTCTGTGTTCCCAGCATCAAGCTTGGCGTGTGGCAGCAAGAAGTGCTTAAACATTGTGTGTCACCTAAATGAATGAATGTGTTATCTTATAATCTTCACAGCCGCCAAATGAGAAATATATTATTTCTATTCACATATGTAGAAACTGAGCCTCACAGAGGTTGAAGTGACTTACCTAGGCCACAAAATGGTAATGTAGGATTAAAAAAAAAAAAAAAATAGAGAAGGGATCTTGCTATAGTGCCCAGGCTGGCCTCAAACTCCTGGCCTCAAGTGATCCTCTGCCTCCATCTCCCAAAGTGCTGGAATTACAGGCATGAGCCACCATGCCCAGCCAGAACCAGGATTTAGACTGTCTGTGACTCCAAGTCACTCTTCTTCCCCTATCTCAGGCTGCTGCTGTCACCATAGATAACACTACTGTTATTGTCCCCAGTGAACCACAAACAAGAGCCAGAGCCAGAGACCTGCCCAAGACCACACAACTAGTTACTGGCAGAGTGCGGTACTGGAGGCCGGGTGTGCTGAGCTCAGCAGGAGGGAAGGAGAGGGGAAGGGCAGGACAGGCAGTGATAGGGGCTGGCCGACTGGGCACTCACCGCCAGGGGCATGATGGAAGCCCGGCCCTCCTTGGTGACAGGCTTCTCCTTCAGGCTGCCCAGGAGCAGATCCAGGAGGTCTCGGACATCACAGCTGGGCTTGCGCAGTATCAGCTGCCTCCACATCTCTGCTCCATTGCTGAGGTCAGGGATGGGGGCAATTAGTGGTTGCCAAGGCAGTGGGGCTCACCCAGCCTCCAAATGGTTTCAGGAGGGGGAAGGTAAGATGCCAATGAAATGGCATCCATGGGCACACTTGCAAGGAATACTCCAGAACACACTCCCAAAAAGTCAGGGTCTAGAAGGATGAGAAACCCTATTTCCTGGCCGGGCACGGTGGCTCATGCCTGTAATCCCAGAACTTTGGGAGGCCAAAGTGGGTGGATCACCTGAGGTCAGGAGTTCGAGACCAGCCTGGCCAACATGGTGAAACCCTGTCTCTACTAATAATACAAAAAAGGTAGCTGAGCATGGTGGTGCATGCCTGTAATCACAGCTACTCGGGAAGCTGAGGCAGGAGAATAGCTTGAACTCGGGAGACAGAGGTTGCAGTGAACCGAGATCGCGCCAGTGCACTCCAGCCTGGGAGACAAGAGCGAAACTCCGTCTTAAAAAAAAAAAAAAAAAAGGCTGGGCGCAGTGGCTCACACCTGTAATTCCAGCACTTTGGGAGGCCGAGGCGGGCAGATCACGAGGTCAGGAGATCGAGACCATCCTGGCTAACACGGTGAAACCCCGTCTCTACTAAAAATACAAAAAATTAGCTGGGTGTGGCGGCGGACGCCTATAGTCCCAGCTACTTGGGAGGCTGAGGCAGGAGAATGCCGTGAACCCGGGAGGTGGAGCTTGCAGTGAGCCGAGACTGCACCACTGCACTCCAGCCTGGGCGACAGAGCGAGACTCCATCTCAAAAAAAAAAAAACAAAAAACAAAGAAACCCTATTTCCCAGGTATCATGCCAAATGTTTCACATGCAATGTATTACTTCGGCAGATATTAGCTAAGCATTTACTGTACACCAGGCCCTAGGCAAATCTTGCGGAATACAGATATGAACAAGAATTCAAGACACTCAAGATCACTGAATTCTCACAATAACCCTAATGTGAGTGTTGTTATTCCCTTTTTACAAATGAGGAATTGAGGCTCAGAGAGGTGAAATTACCAGTCCAAGATTACACAGCTGCAGAGTGAAGATGTGGCCAGGTCGGATGTCTTCAAAGCCTGTGCTCATTCCTCTAACCAAGGAGCAAGAATGGAGGCAGCTGAGCAGCCTGGGGCTAGGATCCTGAACTTGTCATATAATATCAGGGAGCCTCTGCTCCCATCCCTTAAAAGGCAGTACACCAGGCAAGGAAAAGCATCTGCACCTAACCAAACTCCTATCATGGGCTGTTGAAAACACTGGAGGCCAGTGTGCTAAAGGGTTAACAAAAACCTTTCCCCTTCTATGAGAGTGTTTCAACCCTCCATTCACTTTCTAGCTCTGTTCCCTTGGAAACCTGATATAGTATATCAACTATGTTGCTAGGCAACATTACTTATGGTAATAATGACTCCACTGGTAAATTACATCTGGACTGGGAGGAACTATAAATTAACTATAAAAACTGATGGGGACACTATAGCATTGAGCTTCCCAGGATGCAGTTACCCTTGTAACTGGGTTTGTCCCTGTGGGGACCCTGGAAGCAAAGCCAAGATATTGTAAAAGATAGTGGTCCCTGTGAGGCCTGTGCCATTTAAGCCAGGGCAGCTCCCATATCCACCCTATGGGTCTCTTTTCATCACACCTGAGCTTTCACCTGGGAGGCCCAAGAGACCAGCTCCTAGACTCAGGGCCAAGACTAGGGTAAGGAAAGTGAGGCATCCAGGGTGCCACCTTTAAGGAAGCCCTCATTCTCCGGCTCACACAAGTGCAGACTTGGCACCTGAGCCTATCTCCTTAAATGTTGTGCCCTGGATGCCTCTGTCTGGCCTGCTGTGGGGGCTGCTGCAAGGACCCCCACAAAGAGGAGCTCCTGACCCTGCCCTGTCCTGTATCCTGAGTGATGGATGTCAGGTGAGGCCCCTGGTAGTCTTGTGAGTCTGACTGCTTAGTGGACCCAAGAAAAAAAACCCTGGTGGGGAGTACAGCCAGAAAGGGTTTAATTCTTCCAAGTGGGAGACTGGGATGTGCCAGCTGGGCCCTAACCTTCCCGACTGACCTTCTTGGTTTCTATGAATGACATCAACTGTCCTTATTGAAGCACACCCCATTTGTAAAGCTCTGCACAGTTCTTTGGCTCTCAAACAACCACCCGAAGGTGTGGATCACTCACTGCCTTGTTTTACTCATTCAAAGAAGATGTGGGAGCATTTCCTGGGCTGGGAGGCTGAGGTCAGCCAGACTGACCTCTGCTGCCTACGAGCTCACCATCTGACCACAGTCCCCTCTGCCCATCAGATCATGAGCTCCCTGAAGACAGTGAGCATGGAGCACCCTTCCGCACTGGCCCAGGCCCGAGCGGGCTCTCAACACGGCTGACTGCATTACTCTGTCATGACCACCCACCTGGGATTGCAGGGATCATTTCCTTCTTTTGCATATGGAGGAAAGACAGGACAAGTGGGCTACCCAAGACCCAAATGGCAACTGGACGCAGAGCCAGGACAGGCACTCAGACCTCCTTTCAATGGCATTGTTAAAGAGTTCTGGGCTGGTAGTTAGTTAGACCTGAGTTTAGGTCCTCTGTTCTATTGCTTGCTCAGTAAGTACCTAGGGCAAGAAACTTCCCTAAGCCTCAGTTTCCTCATCTGCAGAATGGGATGTTGTGAGAATGAGAGACTATTGTAATGCTTGGCACTGACAGCAGCAGTGCTCAGGAAGTACTTAATGGTTGTCATAAACACCCCAGATCACAGAAGAGGGGCCATCTGGGAGGGCGAGGGGCTTATCTGGGCAGAAGGGGGTCCCCAACCTGGGGTGGGGGCTGCTTGAACCCTGTAAGATGCAGTGGCTGGGAACCCCTTCACTTGGTACCTGTTCAGTGGGAGGGGGCACATGAGCAGGGCCACCACCACCTCGGTCATGAAGGAGCTGGCCAGGAAGGAGACGGGCAGCAGGGCCACCTGGCGGGCCCGAGGCTCCTGGATGTGGCTCAGCTGCATGTAGATGCCCTGCATGATTTCTGGGATCTGGGGCACAGCCGGGGCAGCCATGAGCAGGGGGACAGCCCAATGGAGAAGCCAGGGGAGGCACGGGGGCAGCAGGAAGGTGGGAGGAGAGGGAAGGGGGTGACAGACTAGAAGACAGGGGAGAAGGCCCAAAGGAGAGAGAGAGGAAGAGGCAAGCAGAGCACCTGCCCCTCCCTGGGAGTGAGCTAGTTTCTCTTTACTATGCTTCCCTACACCCTCTTCCACCGCCAAACCCACCTCCACCCACCACCAAGTCAGTTGAGCTCCTTCAGGGCTGGTAAGAGAAAATCTTCAAGGTGGGAGCACCTAGAACTCAGCCACCAGCACCCCTTCCCTGCCCCATAGCTTAGGGGGCTCAGGTATTCCCCACCCTGCGCACTGTCAGGTAGGCCAGTGATGAGCAGGCCATGGCAGGGGGCTCCCAAGCCCCAGTGACAGCTCAGTCCCTGCCCCCAGGAGGCCTTACCACCTCCAGTGCCCTGTGGCGGTACCACTCTAGCACCGAGCTGAGCATGACCTCCGAGGCCAGCTGCATCATCTCCCTGGAGTCCTTCCCTGGAGCCTCTGAGCTGCCTTTCAACCCTTCCAGGGCTGCCAGCAACAGGTCCTTTATCTGCTGGGGTCCCAGGAAGTCTCCAAATTCCTGAAACAAAGGTGCTGAGTTCATGACACTGATAGGTAGACCAAGCTTTGAGCTTCGAGCTTTGTGCACAGAGGCACAAACACTGCCTGACACCCACATGCAGAGGTCAGCAGGGAGGGCCAGGAATATTCGGTTAATAGATAAGTGTTGAACCTTTAGGGAAGGAGCTACAAATGTAGGAGCAACACGTCCCTGCACCCAGCACAGGGTGACATGCGTAAGGGAGAAGGAAGTCCATGCATTGTGGCACAGACCGGAGGAGGAGGGCACTCAGGACAGATGTGGGTGGCTGGGAGGGCGTCCTACAAAGCCTGGAAAGCTGGAAGGGAAGAAGGCTTTGGGGCCAGGTGGTGCTGCCCCTCCTCACCCCCCACCCTCTGCTGCTGGATGGGCACCAGGCAGTCACCGCGATCACCCGCAGGATGTTCTGGCACGGGCTCACAGGGTTGTAGGGCCCCAGGAAATGCTTGTTGCTCTCATATAGCTCCTTCTTGTTGGTCTCTTCCTTATCTCTGGCTCCTGCAAGAAAAGAACCTTTTCAGTGAGGCCAGATCTCCCTAGTTTGTTAAACATACATGTAGGAAGTCCCTACATCATAAGGAACCAGCTTGATACATTTTCACATAGTGAACACACCATTGTAGCCGCCCCCAGGTCAAGAAGCAGAACCTGATCAGCACCCCAGAAGCCCCTCTTGTGCACTCCTTTCGATCATTAGCCCTCTTCCTGACCCTGGCTAAATACTCTTCTAATTTCTCAACCCCTAGAGAGATGTCTTTGCTTTTGAACTTGATATAAATGGACATGTGTTATTCTTGATGTCTGTCTCCTTCCACTCAACGTTATACGGATAAGATTCATCCACACAGTTGCACCAGCATTAGTTCTTTCATTCATTCTCAGTGCTGTATAATTTCCCACAGTATGAAAGCCTATGATTAGTTATCAGTTCTATTTTTGATGGACATTTGGGTTATTGCCAGCTACTAAGCGTCGTGCTGCTAAGAACATTCTAGTGTGTCTTTTGGTGAGTATATCTACACAGTTGTTAGTTGGATACCTAGGAGTGGACTGCTGGGTCGTAGTCTAAGCATAGATTCAGCCACAGGAGATATTGCCAAACAGTTTTCTATGATGGGAAATCAACTGTACCCCACCAGCAGCGCACGAGAGCTCCCATTGCTCCACCTCTTGGCAGCACATGTCATTGTCTGTCTGTTTCATTTATGTCATTCTCGTGGACGTGCGGCAATACCTCTTTTAAATTGCAATCCCCTACCCCTGGTAGTACCAATCCTTATCTACTTTTCTTTAGTTTTTATCATCATCTGACTTGCTATATGTTTTACTTATTTATTTTGTTCACTGTCTATCTCCCGACAACAAGAAGGTACTCTCATCAAAGAAGGATTATTTAATCTCTTTTCCCCACTCCTGTGTCCCCATATCCTATGATAGTACCCGGCACATAGCGGCTTCATATTTTCACTTGAAGGGAACACATTTCAGGTGCACTTTCTGAGCCCTTATTGCAGCCCAGCTTGGATCCCCTCAAGAAATACAGGACTTGGGCACAAGAAAGTGACACTGAGGCAGAGTGATCACATGGACCAAGTGTGTGTGCTGTTTGTAAAGGAGAGGAGCTTAAGACCTGGAGTCGAGCTTAAGACCTGGAGTCAGGCAGACTCAGGTTCAAATCCCAGCCGTGCTGCTTCCTACAGTCAGGGGGCCTGGACAGACCACTTCGCTCATTGAGATTAAATCCTGAGAGTGGCCGTGTGCAGTGGCTGACGCCTATAGTCCCAGCACTTCGGGGGTTTTTTGTTTGTTTGCTTGTTTTTGGTTTTGGTTTTTTGTTGTTGCTTTTTTGCTTTTTTGTTTTGTTTTGTTTTTTGTTTGTTTGTTTTGAGACACAGTCTCACTCTGTCGCCCAGGCTGGAGTGCAGTGGTGTGATCTTGGCTCACTGCAACCTTTGCCTCCCGAGTTCAAGCGATTCTCCTGCCTCAGCCTCCAAAGTAATGGGGACTACAGGTGTGCGCCATCACACCTGGCTTATTTTTGTATTTTTAGTAGAGACAAGGTATCACCTTGTTGACCAGGCTGGTCTTGAGCTCCTGACCTCAGCTGATCCACTCGCCTTGGCCTCCCAAAGTGCTGGAAATACATAAAGTGAGCCACCGCACCCGGCCTGTAATCCCAGCACGCTGGAGGCCGAGACAGATAGTTGACTTGCACCCAGGAGTTCCAGACCAGCCTGGGCAACATGGAGAAACCCTGTCTCTACAAAAAATAAATTAGCGGCTGGGCACAGTGGCTCATGCCTGTAATCCCAACACTTTGGGAAGCTGAGGCAGACAGATCATGAAGTCAGGAGTTCAAGACCAACCTGACCAACATGGTGAAACCCCATCTCCACTAAAAATATAAAAATTGGCTGGGCACAGTGGCTCACGCCTGTAATCCCAGCACTTTGGGAGGCCAAGGCGGGTGGATCACAAGGTCAGGAGATCTATACATCCTGGCTAACATGGTGAAACCTCGTCTCTACCAAAAAAATACAAAAAATTAGCCGGGCATGGTGGCAGGCGCCTGTAGTCCCAGCTATTCAGGAGGCTGAGGCAGGAGAATGGCGTGAACCTGGGAGGCGGAGCCTGCAGTGAGCTGAGATAGCACCACTGCACTCCAGCCTGGGCAACTGAGCAAGATCCATTCAAAAAAAAAAAAAAAAATAAATAAATATGTATATATATAATATATATGCCAGGCATGTCGTGCATGCCTGTTAATCCCAGTTACTCAGGAGGCTGAGGCAGGAGAATCTCTTTGAACCCGGGAGGTAGAGGTTCAGTGAGCTGAGATCACGCCACTGCACTCCAGCCTGGGGACAGAGCAAGACTCCGAAAAAAGAAAGAGAGTAGAGAGAAGATCTGGCTGAGGAGAAGAGAGAGAGAAAGATTAAATTAGCTGGGCCAGGCGCAGTGGCTCACACCTGTAATCCCAGCACTTTGGGAGGCTGAGGCAGGCAGATTACTTGAGCTCAGGAGTTCGAGACCAGCCTAGCCAAAATGGCAAAATCCCGACTCTACTAAAAAACACAAAAATTAGCCGCGCATGGTGGCATGCACCTGTAGTCCCAGCTATTCAGGAGGCTGAGGCAGGAGAATCGCTTGAACCTGGGAGGTGGAGGTTGCAGTGAGCCAAGATCGTGCCACTGCACTCCAACCTGGGCAACAAAGCAAGACTCCATCTCAACAAATAATAATAATAAATAAATAAGCTGGGTGTAGTGGCGTGTGCCTATAGTCCCAGCTACTCTGGAGGCTGAGGTGGGAGGATCACCTGAGCCCGAGAGGTTGAGGCTGCAATGAGCCATGATTGAGCCACTGCACTCCAGCCTGGATAACAGAGCAAAACTCTATCTCAAAAAATAAACAAATAAACAAACAAACAAACAAATCTAAGAGTATGGTTCTTGCCTGCTAAAAAAAGAAAAAAATAAATAAAATCTAAGAGTATAAGTTTGGCCTAGGGTTGCCAAATAAAATACAGGATAATAAGTTAAATTTGAATTTCAGATAAACAAATCATTTTTAGTGAAATTACGTCTCAAATATACTAAAAATTATCCATTGTTTACCTGAAATTCAAATTTTACTGGGTATCCTGTATTTTTTATTTGCTAAATCTGGCAACCCTAATTGGGTCTATAATTCCTACTTATTTCTCTTTCTTTCTTTCTTTTTCAAATGAGCTGACTCGGCAGGGTGCGGTGTTGCATGCTTGTAATCTCAGCGCTTTGGGAGGTTGAGGCAAGTGGATCACTTGAGCCCAGAAGTTCAAGACCAGCCTGGGCAACATGGCAAAACCCTATCTCTACCAAAAATACAAAAAAAAATGTAGCCAAGCATGATAGCGGGCTCCTGTAGTCCCAGTTACCCAGGAGGCTGAGGTGGGAAGATTGCTTGAGCCTGAAAGATTGAGGCTGCAGTGAGATCATGCCACCGCACTCTAGCCTGGGCAACAGAACAAGACTCTGTCTCAAAAAAAAAAAAAAAAAGGCAGCCTCCCGAGCCAGAATGGACTCACAGAGGCTCCTATTCCTTCCCCTAAAGCCGGTTATTAACATGGTTTATACCACCTTCACCCACCCTCCAGAGATGTGAGTGGCTCCTGGTCAACAGGGTAAATCTCCCAGCGACCAAATCTTTGTCCCAAATGCTAGAGATCAAGAAGAGTGAGGATACCAGATAAAGCCCAAAAACCTGAAGGGACAGGAAAAGGTGAACTATATGACAAGTGCCTATAATGTGTGGCACTGAGCTAGTACCTTTACATATGCTCTTACAAAAGATCTCACTTAATCTTTCAAAAAGCATGAATTTAGGCTAGGTGCGGTGGCTCCCACCTATAATTCCAGCACTTCGGGAGGCCGAGGAAGACAGGTCACTTGAGGTCAGGAGTTCAAGACTGGCCTGGCATGGTGAAATCCTGTCTCTACTAAAACTACAAAAATTAGTTGGGTGTGGTGATGTGTGCCTGTAATCCCAGCTACTAGGGAGGCTGAGGCAGGAGAATCATTTGAGCCCAGGAGGCAGAGATTGCAGTGAGCCAAGATTGTGCCACTGCACTCCAGCCTAGGTAACAGAGCCAGACTCTGTCAAAAAAAAAAAAAAAAAAAAAAAAGCATGAATTATGAACTATATCTGAGTGCACCCTTTTCACAGATGAGGAAATCTAGGCCTATACAAAGCGCTTGCCTGAGGTCACACCACTAAGCAAGGACAGAACCAGCTCTTATGCACAGGTCACTCTACCCCCAGAGCCAGGAGAGTTTAAACCACATACCAAGGTCTCCTGGTTTAGGGCATAGCTAGGGTGATGGAGAAAGGAAGGAGGCAAGTGACAGCTGATACTGTGCACCTCTAGGTACAGTGCCTCTGGATACCTGTATCAGCCCATACCACATCACTAACTGCTCCCTGAAGCTGAATCAAGGAAAGTTCTCTCAACTACAAGCTTTAGCTGCTCTGGATTCTAAGATAGAAGCTGTTCTTTGTTCATTCATTCAATAGATATTCACTGAGCACCCACCATGTGCCAAGCCCAGAGATGGCTCTGGGGAATACAGGGCTAACCAAGATACAGCCCTGCCCTTCCCTCATAGGATTATAGTCTCTAGTGGGGAAAACAGACAGGAAAACAAGGTGTTAGGGGAATTATCCTTAGGTATACCTAGTATTAAGGGAATATGAAAATGATAGTCACAAACTAAGCTTGGAAGGGTGAGAAAAAGGAAGACTGCTTAAATCAAAATAGTTTTGTTTGTAGTCTTTGTCCCCTTGTTCTATGGGGTCTTGGGCTCCACACCAGTTTCCAAAGTCCCCATCTGACCCTGTGCTGGTTTCCCCCATCTCCCACCAGGGTCTTCATGCCAAGGCTCCAGCTGATTCTTTATTGAATCCAGACTGAGCAACAACTCAGAAGACTTCCTTCAGAAGCAATAAGGCTTACGTTTTTGGAGCTCCAGGATAGTGTAGAGGAGGATGATGCCGTCCAGAGCCTCCCGGCCAATCTCTTCATCAGGATCCCCAATGCGAAGGATGAGTCTCCCCAGCAGAAGCCCCAGCGCCGGGAACCCCAAGGGCATCTGTTTGTATTGCAATCTTAGGGATTGAGTGTTATAGGTTCAACAATGCTATACATTAAATGGTGAACACAGGTGGATAGTCTGGCCCAGAAAACAGAGCCCTCTGAAGATGGCAAGAGCCACCTGGGAATCCCTGAACAGAGGCACAGGCTCCTTCAGAAGTGGGAAGATTCTCCCTAAGAGTCTCTACCCCTCCCAGGGGCCACTCACAAAGAAAGGCAGAGTCAGAAGCATGTAGTTCAACACAGAGACATGGCTGTTCACAGCCCGTGCTCGCTCATGGGCCTTCCCAGAGTTCATCCAAGGCCCCAGGGCCTGTGGGATCAAAAGTAAAACTCAGAACTACAGGTTAGATGCCAGCCCCTGCTGCTGGGTGGACAGGCCAGCCTTCACCCATCAGCAGGAAGCTTCCAAAGAGGGCATAAAGGTCACCACAGCCCTCCTCCTCTTCTTGGGGTTTAGGGACAGATGGAGTTCAGAATAGGACCGACAGACTATAGGGAAGAAGGAAGTCAATGAGGAGAGAGATGAAAGGTGAAGAGTCATGAAGACAGAAGAGAGATGCAGGGACAAGCATGGAAAGAGCACAGATATGGTAGCAGCTATAACCATGGGCAGCCATTTAGAGAGTGGGAGGATGGGGAGAGAGTGGGGAGAGGCAGGAGTCTGGGACAGGGCCTGTGAGACAGACAGAGAGGCAGAACACTCACACAAGATGACATCCTAAAGCCAAATCACTCCTGGGTCTGGCCTCCACTGCTCCTGAGCCAATTTCTCTCTTCCCTCCACCCTTCCTCCCCTCCCTTCCTTGCCCCTCCCATCTCCGCACCTCCAAGATGCTCTTCAGCCCAGCAGGAGTGGGGTCCTCGATAAAGAGGGCTTTGAGCAGTGTCTGCAGGGCCTCCAGGGTCTGATGATAAAGAGTCTGTGGACAGGAGGAGGACCAAGCCACTAGGGCACCTCTGGAGTAGACATCAGCCCCAGGCATCCCCTGGTGTGGGTCAGGGGAGGAGGGGGAATTTGGACCCAGGAGAGCTGCTTTCTGGTCCCACCTCTGAGACTAACTTGATGTGTAATGTTGGGCAAATTACTTCCCCTCATGGATTACAGTTTCCTTATCAACAATTGCTAATTATTATCTCTGCACTTTCTCCTTAAAGACGGAGGAAGCGGAGATCTAGCATACACTGGGAATCTACCGTGGACCGTGGACCTGGTGATTTGCACAACCATATCACCTTGTCCACAAATTGTTTCTCTCATTTTACAAATGAAGGGACAGGGACACTTGTCCAAGATCACAGAACAAGAAGTTTCAAGTCATGAGGAGCAAATGAGAGGATGGATGGGAAAATGCTCTGGAACTGCAAGAGCTGGATCAATGAAAGAGCCAATCTTACTTTCATCATCTCTAGGGAAATGCTCTGATCCTTTCTTGAATTGCTTCTCCTAGACCCAAATAGGTTTTCCAAGTTGCCCCTTAAGGAAGCCATCTCTCCCCTGCCCAGGTTTCTCATTCCTTAACCACACCACTATCCTGGAATTGTCTTATGGGTACCGGCATTACATGTACACAAGGCTGGGCAGTGGGTTTGAGTTACTCTGAGAAGACCCTCTCTTTTTTGCCTGCCCTCCTCCTGCCAGCTCCCTAAGTGTGCCTCCTAGGTTGTTATTGTCCAACTTCCTGAGTCTGCACACACTGTGAAGCCAGTGGTCCTTGGGGATATACCATAACCAACAAGAAAGCCTGGCTCACCACCTACCTACCTCCTCCTCCCCGCCCATCTCTGCAGATTACTATGCAGCACTGTCCTCTGCTGGCTAAATCTGGTACTACAAAAGGGCTGCCTGCTTTTTTCATTCACCCGCTCCACCCCAGTCTTCTACAAGGGCACCACCTCCGGGACCCTGGTTCTCCAGCCTCACTTCCCAGAACTCTCGCCTAACCCTCTGGGTTCCAGTCACACTGCCACTTTGTCATTCTCTGCCTGAAATGCTCTTCCTTCTGCCACCCTCTGCAGCTAATTAGTTCTTTATTAACCTCGCAGCTTCACAATCACAACCCCTGACCCCTATCTAGGCCTTCCCCTCCCCCACCGCCCACCCCACCATTACAGGCTCTTTATAGCACCAAGTACTTCCGGCTTGCAGGATTTATGATTGGTGTAATTTTGCATTTATTCGTATTTATTTATTTGATACCATCCATCTCCCCCACGCTCACTTCGGCTGTAAGGTTCCTGTGCTGAGTTCAGCATGGAGTAGGTACTGAGTTACTATTTGCTAAATGAAGTGATGAATGAATGTGCTGCAACCTGGGCTGAAACCCTTTGCCTTAACCTTCCCCACTGACCCTCTCTACCCCTCATCCTACCCTGAGGGTCACCTCCACCCCTCCTCCCAGGAACACCTGGAGAGGTTTGAAGATGCTCGCGTGAGCCTCCTGAGGTTCTGTTTCTCCAGGCCTCAGCCCCAGTTCCCGCAGTCTGTCTTCGTTATCGCCTAGGCCTCAGCCCTGCCCCTCCCAATCCTGGCCGCTTCCCTTGGCCATGCCATCATCTGCCCACATCCCTCCCATAGGGCAGGGCCCAGAAGTGGACAGGATGGGTGTTGTTTTGTTTTATTTTGTTTTGAGATGGAGTCTCACTCTGTTATCCAGGCTGGAGTGCAGTGGCACGATCTCTGCTCACTGCAGGCTCTGCCTCCTGGGTTCCAGCCGTTCTCCTGCCTCAGCCTCCTGAGTAGCTGGGCCTACAGGCGCCCGCCACCATGCCCGGCTAATTTTTTTTTTTTTTTTTAATAGAGACAGGGATTCACCGTGTTAGCCAGGATGGTCTGCATCTCCTGACCTCGTGATCCACCCACTTCAGCCTCCCAAAGTGCTGGGATTACAGGCGTGAGCCACCGCGCCCAGCCGGGTGTCTTTATTTGAATGATTCATCCATTCACCATTTATCAAGTACCTACTCAGACCAACAGAAGTGAGTTGAATTGCCCAAGGCCACAGACCAATGAGCTGGAGGATGCAGCTCCAGATCTCCTCCCAGAACTTGGGCCAGCCCTGAGGCCCTGCTGGGAAGGCCTGTCTCACCTGGATGGTCTCAGCCTTGGCCTCATCCTTCTCCTGCATGGCCTGCACGGAGGGCAGGGAGAACACACTCTGCACACACATGTTCACCAGCTCCGACCTCTCCCGCACGCCCAGGGTGGGCTGGGTGTGGCTGGAGAAGAGGCAGAAAACAAAGGGAATGAGAAAGGGGCCCTACGGCTAAAGACAGGGGCTGAGCTGAGAAGCAGGGACTGGGCAAGGTGGAGGTGGGTTGGCGGAGGGTACAGTGGAGAGACGGAGGGAGGCAGAAGTGGAGGAAGAGAAGAGAGGGGTTGTGGGGACAGGGAGAGGGCCATGGACACCTCAGCTGGGTCAGGATCTCCATGGCCTGCTTGCGGACGGAGCTTGAGAGAGAATCCAGTGGCTCCTCCTGGATCTGCCTCTGGACAGGGGGCCACAGAAGGGCTGATGAGGACAGGGCTACTGCAGGCCGCCAGGGCCAAGGCTGCCCCCCTCACAAGGAGCAGGTCACAGCAGCCCCTCAAGTGCTCCTCCCGCCTCAGCTGCCCAAGTAACTGGGACTATAAGCTCATGCCACCACACTTGGCTAACTATTTTTATTTTTTGTAGAGACAGAAAATGTGTCTCTACATTTGCTGTGTTGCCCAGGCTGGTCTCAAACTCCTGAGCTCAAGCCATCCTCCTGCCTTGGCCTCCCAAAATGCTGGAATTAAAGACATGAGCCACCATGCCTGGCTTCCAGGAGGCATATTCAAACCATGGAACTGGCCCAAAGCAAAAACCACCATGTGTGGCCCTTGAAAACCGCCCAGTTGCATTCCTTTAAATTTTTTTTGCTTTGTCTTTTTAGAGATGGGGTCTTATGATGTTGGCCAGTTTCATCTTAAACTCTCTCTCTTTTTTTTTTTTTTTTGAGACGAAGTCTTGCTTTGTTGCCCAGGTTGGAGTGCAGTGGCACACTCTCGGCTCACTGCAACCTCTGCCTCCCTAGCTCAAGCAATTCTCCCGCCTCAGCCTTCTGAGTAGCTGGGACCACAGACACATGCCACCATCCCCAGCTAAGCTTTTTTTGTATTTTTAGTAGAGATGAGGTTTCACCATTTTGGTCAGACTGGTCTCGAACTCCTGACCTCAAGGGATCTGCCTGCCTCGGCCTCCCAAAGTGCTGGGATGACAGACGTGAGCCACCACACTTGGCCAAATGTCCATTTCTTTAAGATAAAAAATTAGTTGGATATGGTGGCACACACCTGTGGTCCCAAATCTCCAGAGGCTAAGGCGGGAGGATCCCGTAAGCCCAGGAGGTTGATGCTGCAGTAAGCCATGATGGCGCCACTGCACTCCAGCCTGGGCGACAGAGCATGACCCTGTCTCAAAATAAAGGATGTCCTTCTAATTGCTTCTCATTTTGATCTAGCACCTACACACAGCAGATGCTCAATTAATGTTTGTTAAATGAAGGTATTTAACCTTCATTTAACTTTAAAAAGCAAGGACTTTTTTGGTTGTCTCTGTGAAGTACACAGCTTCAGTGGTTATTCCTGCCCAATCCATTCTGGTGGAGTGGCTGTATTTATCAAAATGATGAGGAAACTGTCTAAAGTTGCCTACCAGAAGGAATGGCTGGGAAAAGAATGTATTAAGTAATAAGAACTGCTTCTGGGTGTGCAAGGCTTTACTGTAGACTAAGCATTGGGTTGTGTCCTCCCAACAAGCCAATGGCACAGGTATTATCACACCCATCTGTGAGATGAGAAGAGTGAGGCTCAGAACTTGCCTGAACTCCCTCTGTGTAGGTGGGAGGCAGTTCGAAGTGGAGCTGAGACTCAATTCCCGGTGTCCTGCCTCCTCATCCTGTCCTTTTCCCACCTCAGCCTCCCACCCCTGCAGTCTCATCAGTGGGTGGACTCAGGAATTCTGCCGCCTCCCACCCCAATGCCGCAGACCCGCCCGTGGCTCCCCCACCATCATCTTCTTTATCATGGTCTTCTTTTCTCTTTCTGCCTCCAACAGATCCTGGCTCTTCTGAAGGGTGGTGACATTCTCAACCTAGGGGACAGCAGAGGGCAAAACCTCGGAGTGAAAGCCCCACCAAGCCCAGTCCTCAGGGGTTGCCCATACAGCACTGTTAACCACCCGACACCTGCAGGCAAGCCAGAATTGGCACAAGAGAAATGAGAGGTTCCCACAAGGGGAACTTGGAGTGGGGTAAAGATTGGAGAATATTGAGGGATTGGAGGAGTTAATCCTGAATGCCAGCATTTGGAAGAGGACCAGATATGAGGGACTGCAAAGTACTCCCCCTTCTCCAGTCAACTAAGGAGGGGACAGAAAGGGCCCCAATCCCTCAACCTGAAATTGCACCATTAGTAACGCTTCATATGGGTCTTCCAGTACATACAAGTCAGATTGAGGCATTCTGCTACCTGAGAGAGAGAACACATTAACTAATATCCAACTAATCTCTCCGTTCTCATCATCTTAAGGGAGAAGGAGGAAAATAAACAATCACCATGAAATAAGAAAACTAACTTCATATAGTAAAGAAGAAAAGACAGGTTAATTTGATGGGGAGTGTAGCACATTGAAAACAGCTGCAAGTTCTTTTCTGCTCCTCCTATCCAAAACACAGATTCCTCTTGAATCTTGGCTCATTTTATAACTTGCTTTGACCAGTAGAGTAATGTGGAAGTGACGCTGGGCCAGTTCCTGGACTAGTCCTTAAGGAAACTGGAAGCTTCCACTTTTTCCCTCTGGAACCCAGCCACTGTGCTGCAAGGAAGCCCAAGCTAGAAGACAGAATGATTACAGACCATGTGAAGAGAGGCCCTGGAAAATGAGGGGGTCATCTTGAATGTTCCAGTCCCACTGAGTAATATCAGTCTACACTGTGGAGCAGAACCACCACCTAGCTAAGCCCAGTCAAACTTCAGAATCATGGGAAATCGGGCCTCTCCAATTCTAATGACCCCAGCACCCAGGCTGAGATGCAGTGATGCAGTCACAGCTCACTACAATTTCAAATTCCTGGGCCCAAGCAATTTTTTGGTCTTAGCCTTCTGAGTAACTAGGACTACATGGACTACGTAGGACTACTGGGCCACCATGCCCAGCTAATTTTTTTTGTTTTTTTCTACTTTGTAAATTTTTGTAGCTGGGCATAGTGGCTCACGTCTGTAATCGCAGCAATTTGGGAGGCTGAAGTGGGCAGATCACCTGAGGTCAGGAGTTCAAGACCAGCCTGGCCAATATGATAAAACCCTGTCTCTACTAAAAATACAAAAATTAGCTAGGCATAGGGGCATGTGCCTGTAATCCCAGCTACTTGGGAGGCTGAGACAGGAGAATTGCTTGAACCCGGGAGGCAGAAGTTGCAGTGAGCCGAGATCATACCATTGCACTCCAGCCTGGGCAACAAGAGCGAAAACTCCAACTTTAAAAAAAAAAAAAAAAAAAATCGTAGACACTGGGTCTCACGATGTTGCCCAGGTTGGTCTCAAACTTCCAGCCTCAAGTGATCCTCCCACCTCAGCCTCCCAAAGTACTGGGATTACTGGTGTGAGCCACCATCCCTATCCCAGAGTGAACTTTTAAACCACTAAATTCTGGGGTGGTTTGTTAAACAGCAATAGGTAACTTAAACTGTAAGAGTGATGATAGAGCGATGGCTAATTTAATCCAAATGGTCAGAGAAGACCACTCAGAGGAGTTAACACCTGGGCTGAGTCCTAAATGACAAGAAAGAACTAGCTATGCAGAGAACTAGGGGGAAGTCCTGTCTGTCTCCCCAAACTAGAATGTCAGATCACATCACTGTTGTATCCCTAGTGCCTAAAACAGTGCCTAGCACATAGTAGAGGCTCAATGAAATGTGTTGAATGACAATATTGAGGCTCAGAAACCCATACCCCACAATATGGTGTTTGGACATGCTGAATTGAATAAGCTTCCAGGTCTCTCTGATGTCTCCCAAAGTATGAGATGAAGTTGAAGTTCCTTGATCTGCCTAAGATCCAGATCTACCAAGGAGATCAACTGTTGGTCCTTCCCTTCCCTGTAAGACCAAGAATGTAACCACATCTGAACAGACCCTTTCACAAAATAATCTCTGTTCCTGATCCATTAATTCTTGCTACTAATCCCTTATTGCTCCTCAACAGAATTCCTCTTCTCTTGCTGGGTGTGGTGGCTCACAGCTATAATTATAGCACTTTGGAAGGCTGAGGCAGGAGGATGGCTTGAGCTCAGGAGTTCAAGACCAGCCTGAGCAATATAATAAGACCTCACCTCTAGGCAAAACATCAAAAAAAAAAAAAAAATAGTCCAGGGCCAGGCACAGTGGCTCATGCCTATAATCCCAGCTACTCAGGAGGCTGAGATGGGAGGATCGCTTAAGCCTGGGAAGTTGAGGCTGCAGCAAGCCAAGATCGCATCACTACACTCCAGCCCGAGTGAAAGAGTGAGACCCTGCCTAAAAAAAAAAAAAAAAAAAATTCTCTTCTCCTGCCTCCTATAACCTGTTTTGCCAGGATCCAAGCCCCCATTTTTCTGTAACCTCAAAATGGTATATAAGCTTCTGAGCCCTCACTGGGAGCAGGTAATCACTCTGTGTTTCTCTCCGTGTACTCATTAATAAATGCATGTACATTTTCTCCAATTAATCTGCCTTTGTTAGTTGATTTTTTTTTCAGCAAACCTTCAGAGGATGAAGGGGACGTTTTCCCTTGGCCCCTGTGACAGCAATAAAAAGTCTTCTTTTTGTAGGCGCCATGGTAGCTGCTGTACATATCACCTGGCATGGGCCTCACTTCAGCTTTGTTGTGCTCATTTTATAGAACTTTCCTGGCAGAAACACGTGCAAAGGCCCTGGGGCAGGAATGAGTTTGGCGTGTGTGAGAAACAGAAAAAGGCCAGCGTGGCAGGAACACAGTGGACAACTAGAAGGACACCATGGGATGAGGATAAATGCTCCCCAAATGCAGGGCTTCCTCTTAGTCCAGTCACCTCTCCTCATCCCCACCCTGCACTGCCCCAGGGACTGAAGCTTGGCCCTGAAGCAGTCTGGAGGCAGGGCCTGCCTCCTGCATGTCTGGGCCTGGATGGATACCCCACCTCCTCTACATTCTGTCCACCAAGCACCCTTGTCCACACTCCCTGTGTCGCACTCACGTCCACCAGCTTGTCTAGTCTTCCCCCCTGGCCCTTGCCAAGTCCTGCAAGTGCAAGTGTGCCTCACCTGCTGGACTGGTCTTCTTGGGCCTCCTAGGCCTGCTGCATGGCCCAGACCTGGGTTGGGCCTGACTGTCCTGAAAAAAGGCCACTTCTAGACTTTCTGCCCCTTTCAGAGCCCCTCCCACAATTCATTCAATTGTTTAAAAATATTTTATTGAGCATCTATTATGTGCCAGGCACTGTTCTAGATGCTGAAGTTATAGCTGTGAATAACAGACAAAAATGCCCGAGTAATGGAGGATATGTCCTTGTGGGGCAGATGAACAAGAAAGAAGATGAATAAACAAAGCATATGGCACATCAGACAGCAATGAACGTTATGGAGAAAAGGAGAGCCGGGCAGAGGCACGGGGAATGCTGAGGCTGCTGGGCTGGGTGGGGGAAGGGGAGAGGGGGTAGGCAGCACGGAAGTACCCCAGGACAGTCAGCTAGGGGTTGGGCAGAAGGCATACCAGAGCCATGTTTTTGCCACCTTCTGTCTTCTCTGGCACCTTCACCAGGCATGAAGTCACTTCATCAAAGGCTCCTGCAGGGCACAATTTCAATGAGAAGATGGATAAAGCTGTGATGTACCTAGGATGCCATCATGCCATCTCTCTCCTCCCCCTCTAGGCCCCTCCAATCCCTACCCCACCCCAGCACCCCAGTAGCCACACTGAGCTTTTTTTTTTTTCTTTTTTCTTTCTTTCTTTTTTTTTTTTTTTTTTTTTTGAGACGGAGTCTCGCTCTTGCTGCCCAGGCTAGAGTGCAATGGCGCTCACTATCTTGGCTCACTGCAACCTCCACCTTCTGGGTTCAAGTGATTCTCCTGCCTCAGCCTCCCAAGTAGCTGGGATTACAGGCACCCACTACCACACCCAGCTATTTTTTGTATTTTTAGTAGAGACAGGGTTTCACCATGTTGGCCAGGCTAGTCTCGAACTCCTGACCTCCAGTGATCCACTCGTCTCGGCCTCCCAAAGTGCTGGGATTGCAGGTGTGAGCCACCACGCCTGGCCTACACTGAGCTTTTAAGTGTACATCAGCTCATGTCACCCCCTCCCTAAAACCCTTCAGTGACACTGCATTTCATTGAGCACAAAGCCAGCATCCTTGCCGAGGCCTTCAATGCCCTGCCTGGTCGGTTGTGCCCTGCCCTCCTCTGCGGCCCTATCTCCCACCACTTGCCCGCCTCACTATGCTCTGGTCACACCAGCTTCCTTCCAGAACTGAGCACATTTCCCCTCAGGGCCTTTGCATGGTGGTTCCCTCTACCCGGGCCACTGCTCGCCATACCTCCTTGCCCCGCTAAGGCTCTCCTTCAGGCCTAGGCTTGCCTGCCAGTCCTGAGAAAGGCCACCCCCACCCTCTGGCTCTGCAAGGGCCAATATGGTCTTGTCGTGCATTGTCTGAATCTCTTCTTTCAGCAGTCATCATAATTCACAGCTAAACACCTACTTGTTATGAGAGGCATCTGCCGTTCTGTCAGCCCCCCATCTCTTCACTTTCTTTTGGTGAAAGAGCCTCATCTTTCCTGTGTGCACCCTATTCCATGTAGCTAGGTGAAGCTGGATTCCTCAAGACACACCCAGCACCCACTCTTCAGACAGGGGTGGGCCTGGAACCCAAGCTCCACTCCTAAGAGTGTCCCATGCCACCAGCCACAGCGATTGGTCCAGGGATGAAAACTTGACTGGGCAGGACCAATAGAGTCTTTTATTTAAGGGGGTTGGGGGGAACACCAAAGGAGAGAGGATCTTTCTCCTTCTGAGGACAAGGTCACTGGGGCCTATGAAAACCTGGAACTTCAGATTCTCGACCACCAGAGGATGCTAGAGGATGGAGAAGTACAGATACCCCAATTGTAGTGAACACCAAGATCTTAGCTTCTAAACACCATTCTCCACTAAAAGGAACAAGGCTCCTTGGAGAAATGTTTGATTCCAGGACTCAAACAGGGAAAGCTCAGGATGAACCTGAGACACCTGAATGATAAAGACATGTCAAATATCAAAGGAATACAAAAGCATGCTTTTTTCGTTGTTTTTTTGTTTTATTTGTTTTGAGCTAATGGGGGCCGAGCACGGTGGCTCACGCCTGTAATCCCAGCACTTTGGGAGGCTGAAGCAGGTGGATCATCTGAGGTCAGGAGTTTGAGACCAGCCTGGCCAACATGGTGAAACCCCACCTCTACTAAAAATACAAAAATTAGCTGGGCATAGTGGTGCACACCTATAATCACAGCTACTAGGGAGGCTGAGGCAGGAGAATCGCTTGAACCCAGAAGGCAGAGGTTTAGTGAGCCAAGATTGTGCCACTGCATTCCAGCCTGGGCAACAGAGCAATATTTCGTCTCAAAAAAAGAAAGAACTCGGGGGTCTTGCCGTGTTGGCCAGGCTGGTCTCTACAAAAGTTTGCTTGAAGGGAATTTCACTGATCGAATTGAGGAAAATTTGAGTATCACAATAAATTGTGAAAAAAATGGATTATAGCCCATTAAATAAACTAAGAAAATGGATTATAGCCCATTAAATAAACTAATTGAGTCCATATTATACTAATAAATAAATAAATAAATTGAAAGTTTGATGGGAATGGGATATTCACATAGTTTCAAAGTACCTGACCACATGATATTCACTACAAAGGGGTAAATATTGACTTCACAATAGAAAACCTTGGCAGCAACCATCCTACTCAAGTGATGAAAGCAAACAGCAACAGTAATGAACAAATCAAAATTATAAGGCACCAGACAGGACGCAATGAGAAAAACCCAGCATCACTTCTGTGCTATTCCTGCCAAAAATGCATGCCCTGAATCTAATCATGAGCAAGCATCAGACAAATTGAAACTGAGGCACATCCTACAAAAATAGCTTGCCTGTCATCTTCAAATGTATCAAGGACAGGAAAGTCAAAGAAAGGCTGAGGACTGCAGGAGACAGATCAGACTAGAAAAAAAGTACAATGAGTGGTTCTGAACTGGATCCTCTTGCTGTAGAGAACATTACTGGGAAAATTGGTAACTTTTGAGTAGGGCCTGAGGATTACATGGTAGCTGTGTATCAATATTAATTACTTGATAGTGATAGTTACATTTTATCCTTTTTTGTAAGAAGTACACTCTGAAATTCAGGGGTGATGGAGCATCATTTGGAAACTTATTCTTAAACGATTCAAGGAAAAAAATTTATAGTACATTTTCAACTTTTTTTTTCTTTGAGATGGAGTCTCACTCTGTTGCTCAGGCTGGAGTGCAGTGGTGCCGATCTCGGCTCACTTCAACCTCCACCTCCCGGGTTCAAGTAATTCTCCCACATCTGCCTGCTGAGAAGCTGGGTTTATAGGTGTGTGCCACTCTGCCTGGTTAATTTTTGTATTTTTAGTAGAGACAGGATTTCACCTTGTTGGTCAGGCTGGTCTTGAACTGCTGGCTTCAAGTGATCTGCCCACCTTGGCCTCCCAAAGTGCTGGGATTACAGGCATGAGCCACCACACCCAGCTCAACTTTTCTCTAAGTTTTGTTTGGTTTTGTTTGCAGACAGAGTCTTGCTCTGTCATTCAGGCTGGAATGCAGTGGTGCAATCATGGCTCACTGCAGTCTCGACCTCCTGGGCTCAAGTGATCCTCCTACCTCAGCCTCCCAACTAGTTGGCGCTACAGGCCCATGCCACCACATTTGGCCAATTGTTAATTTTTTTGTAGAGATGAGGGTCTCATTTTGTTGCCCAGGCTGGTTGTGAACTCCTGGGTTCAAGCAATATTCCTGCCTCAGCCTCTCACAGTGCTACGTATTACAGGTGTGAGCCACCATGCCCAGCCCTAGATTGGTTTTTAAAAATCATTTTTAAGATATTTTTAAGGCCGAGGGTGGCAGCTCACACCTGTAATATCAGCACTTTGGGAGGCCAAGGCAGGTGGGTCACCTGAGGTCAGGAGTTCGAGACCAGCCTAGCCAATGTGGTGAAACTCCGTCTCTACTAAAAATGCAAAAATTAGCTGGGCATGGTGGCAGGCGCCTGTAATCCCAGCTACTCAAGAGGCTGAGGCAGGAGAATCACTTGAACCCAGGAGGCAGAGGTTATAGTGAGCTGAGATTGCTCCACTGCACTCCAACCTGGGCGACAAGAGCGAAACACTGTCTCAAAATAAATAAATAAATAAATAAATAATATTTTTAAGTACCTACTATATGACCAGTACTGTTCTAAGCACAGTTAATAAAAGTGAACAGGGCCAGACGTGGTGGTTCATGCTTGTAATACCGGCACTTTGGGAGGCCGAGGTGGGCAGATCACCTGAGGTCAGAAGTTCGAAACCAGCCTGATCAACACGGAGAAATCTCGTCTCTACTAAAAATACAAATTAGCCAGGCGTGTGGCACATGCCTGTAATTCCAGCTGCTTGGGAGGCTGAGGCAGGAGGAACACTTGAGCCCAGGAGTTTGAGTCTGCAGTGAGCTATGATTGTGCCACTCCACTCCACTCCAGCCTGGGCAACAGAATAAGACCTCATTTCTTTAAAAAATTTTTAATTTAATTTAATTTAATTTAAAGATAAATAAAAGGCTTCATCAAGCCACAGACTCAGAAAAAATAGTCAAAATTCATGTATCTAACAAAGAACTCATATCTAGATTACATAAAGAATTCCCACAAACCAATAAGAAAAAGAGACACCCCAATGTTTTTAAATGAGCAAAATGTACATGTTGTTCCCTTCTGAAATTTTAAAAAAAAAAAGCGCAAAATATTTGAACTGGTACTGCACAAAAGAGGATATGCAAATTGCCAATAATCATGTAAAAAAGTGCTTAACATCAGTAGTTATCAAGATATGCAAATTAAAACCACAATGAACTATCACTAGACAGAAACCCCCTAGAATGACTACAACTATTTATTTTTTTATTTTTTATTTTTCTCTTTTTTTTCTTTTTTTTTTGAGATGGAGTTTCGCTTTTGTTGCCCAGGCTGGAGTGCAATGGTACAATCTTGGCTCACCGCAACCTCCACCTCCCAGGTTCAAGTGATTCTCTTACCTCATCTTCCTGAGTAACTGGGATTACAGGCATGTGCCACCATGCCCGGCTAATTTTTTGTATTTTTGGTAGAGACAGGATTTCTCCACGTTGGTCAGGCTGGTCTCGAACTCCCGACCTCAGGTGATCCACCTGCCTCGGCCTCCCAAAGTGCGGAGATTACAGGCGTGAGCCACTGCACCCGGCCTGATGACAAATTTTTTAACTGATAATGCCAAATGTTGGTGAGAATGTGGAACAATTGAAACTCACATAGTTTATGGAAGCGTAAATTAATTCAGTCATTGCTGTGGTTTGAATATTTATGTCCCCTTCAAAATTCATGTTGAACTTAATCTCCAATGCAATAGTATTAAGAGGCAGAGACTTTAGGAGGTGGTCAAATTGTGAGGGCTCCACCGTCTAGAATGGGATTAAGGCCTTTATAAAAGAGGCTTCATACAGAGTTCAGCCCCTTTTTGTCCTTCCACCTTCCACCATGTAGGGATACAGCAAGCAGGCCC